TGGAGGTTGGGGCCCGAACAATCGTGCACACCAGACGATGTCGCAGCGACAAGTTGAAGCCGCCGCGTATGAGTTTGCTCAAGTGGTCTGGCCAAAAAGCAGTGTCAGGCCTCGTTCAACTAGTAGTAGTACTAGTACTAAGTACCTTCGTAGCGGGCCACTTCGAACGGCGTGAGAAAGCCGAGCGACCCCATCGCAAACGAAAACACGGGCGGCACGTTCGTCTTGAACAGAGACGACACCCACAGCACCGTGCCATCTCCCCCAAACGACACGACCAAGTCGATCTCGTGCTGCTTGTCGTGCCAGTCCGCCGCGTCCGTCCACGTCAGCGTCCCGTCCAGACCTTCCTCGGCATGCACCACGGGCTCCAGGAACACGCGCATGTGTTTGGCGGTCATGAGCCACGTGGCCACCTCTCGCATCGTCTGCGCGACGGTGGGCTCGTTGGGTTTCTTCACTAGCAGAATCGTCTTGGGCCCGCGACTTGCGTTCGTCCACGTCATCTGCACGTTGTTTTTCGCATGGCATTTGGTTCGAATGGTCCGATGGGGCGGAATGAACACATCCCGGACGTTGTCGCTACTGCTACACTGCAGCAAACTGAACGACGCGCGATGGCGGCGCACGCTTGGACTTCCGGCGTCGGGGGAGGCGACAGGTGGGTCGTCGTCGTCAAAGTCGTCCTCGAATTGATACCCCATGCTTCCTCCATGATGCGGACTCTTGGGGCTTGGAATCGTGTCGGCGTGGTGCCTATGCACAAATGTAAACGTCTTCATACAGAGTTCGTCTGACGTACGTCCATTCGTCACTGCCTTCTCCGTCCGACTCAGCCTGCTTCAATTGTTCGTCCAGTGCTTCCAGTCGCGCGTGAAGTTTGGCAATTTCGACGTCCTTTTGCTCCACGACATGTCGGATTTGCCCTTCCAAGTCATGCACTTGTCCACGAAGTCGCGCCGTCTCGTGCGCCCTTTCGTCGACTTGTGCTTCGAGCTCCCGCACCCGGGCCTTCAAGCCGCTTGTGGTGGATCCATTGCATGTTACGCGCAACGCGTTTGACTCCTCTAGTCGCTTGAACGTAGCTAAGAGGTTCTGCAGGCAGGATGCGGCATCGCGGATCTGGTCGACCACCTCGACCATGGTGTGCAGCCAAATTCACAAATGCCTAGTTTGAAGGCGATGGTTTTTCCCTACTGTATGTGGAAAACATGTGATTGGCGCACGACGGGCCAATCATATCGTAGCATTTCGTAAACACCTTGAGTTCTTCTACTGTAGATGGTCCACGACGGAGCCTGCGAGCCTCATGTTTTGACATGTAGAGGCAGACGACACCCCGTAGGGGAAGTAATTGCCAAGGAGTGTAATCACACGTCCAAGATGCATCCCCAACGATTGAATGGCGTTCAGATCGGGGTGTTATTACACTGCTAGTAGTAGTTTTTCTATGTTTCGAGGTTGTTACCGATCGCGAGGATTATACATGGTAGCCGGCTAGCGTAGCCGGCTACAGTTGCACCCGAGTGTGCACTACGAGTTTGTAGCTTGACGATGCCACTCAAGAGGATCCAGATTCCAGCAGTGGTGGCACGTGTGTGTTCGGCCCAGCATTGGAAATCAATCGCAATGAAGTAGGTTACAACCATTCATGTGAACATTTCTTACATCCTTGGAAAGCCACAATGGGGCAAATTCCTTGTAGAGCATTATTATTCACAAGCGGCGATCCCACATTTGGTGGTTAACCATATCAACAGACAAGCGTGGGCCTCCGCCTTCTCCTGTTAGGTTAGCAGTCGTATGTGTGTGTAGGTAGGTGCTCTAAGGTCACCCTGTCATGCCCAAACCATCCCGAGTTTTACTCATTTACTCGTTGAACGACGACGACTCGGAGGATTCCATTGTTGGCGGGGGGTCGTGAAAGGGTTTGATTTCCTTGCGCTGGTTCCAGTTCAAGTTGCTCTTGACCGATGCAAACCAGTCCTCGTTCTCGTTCAAGTTGCACACACTTGGCAGCGGAAACGACGACACGCGGACATGCAGCTCATCGCCGCGGTTCATCTGCACGCGCATCTTGCCATCAAACGAGGCCATCACCTACACACCACACATACAGTATCAGCGACCTCAAGCTACAAATTCGCCATTCAGTTTAACGTTAATCCAGCGACTAACTTAAAAGGGCAGTTTGCACTTGTGTAGTACATACCGAACTGGACCGGGCGGTGGCCGGCACGACGATCTTGAGGTGTGCGCTGTCGTGGAACAGCATCGGCCGAAACGATAACGTATGTGGGCAAATAGGCGTAAACAGCATGCACGGTACACTAATATAGAGGCATACCTCAAAGTATTGAAAACTCATCGCCACTATGTCAAGGGATTAGAGATAATACCTTGGATGGGTCATGCTGCCACCCGCAGACAACGAGTACGCCGTGGAGCCGGTGGGGGTGGCTATGATGATGCCATCGGCGCTGATCTTTGTGAGTGCCACGTCATCGCAGAAGCAGTCCAACTCGACGAGCGCGGCGCCGAGGCCCCTGTCCATGACCACTTCGTTGAGGGCATGCACGGGCATGGCGATGGTCTCGACGTGGGGCGTCTTGTCCGATCGGATGATTGTGCAGATGAGGCGTTGTCGCAGGGACATGTGAAAGCCGCCGCGTATGAGTTGGCTCAAGTGGTCTGGCCAAAAAGCAGTGTCAGGCCTCGTTCAACTAGTAGTAGTACTAGTACTAAGTACCTTCGTAGCGGGCCACTTCGAACGGCGTGAGAAAGCCGAGCGACCCCATCGCAAACGAAAACACGGGCGGCACGTTCGTCTTGAACAGAGACGACACCCACAGCACCGTGCCATCTCCCCCAAACGACACGACCAAGTCGATCTCGTGCTGCTTGTCGTGCCAGTCCGCCGCGTCCGTCCACGTCAGCGTCCCGTCCAGACCTTCCTCGGCATGCACCACGGGCTCCAGGAACACGCGCATGTGTTTGGCGGTCATGAGCCACGTGGCCACCTCTCGCATCGTCTGCGCGACGGTGGGCTCGTTGGGTTTCTTCACGATCAAGATGGTCGTCGGAGGAGTATCCCACATCAATTGGACGTTGTTCTTGGAGCGGCATTGCGTTTGGATCGTGCGGTTGAGGGACGGAAGGACCTCGCATTCCATGTCGCTGCATTGAAGGAGGCGAAACGACGCGCGCTTGGGCCCGATTTTGATCATGGATGGAAGCATGGACGGGGTATGTGACATCTCGGCAAGATGGGCCGGGCTGTTCTTTTCGCGAGGCGAACTGCTTCTGCTGCACATGGGGTTCGTGATCGTATCAGCCATTTCCCGAAGCTCCGAGTTGCTTCGCGCGCGGCGCACCATCGTGGCAAAGCTCGCTTCGTATTGGACGCACCGCCTCAACCAGTAGTCCTTCTCGTCCATGACGTTCTTCATTCGTTGCTCGAGTTCATGCACGCGAGCTTTGAGCTTAGTGGCCTTGACGCATGCTGGGGACTGATCGTCCTCATTCTCCTGTGCCTCCAGAGCCGCCAAGAGCTTCTGGAGGCTCGACGCAGCATCGCGGATTTCGTCCATCACAACGTCGTGTGTGGCAAGGTATGCAAATTCGTAACATATTATCCTCCAATCGTCTTGGAGATTAGAATTATTGTTGGATGATTGGATGTATTTACACCAATCCAATCATCGTATTACGATATTTGATTTGGTATCAACAAGCAGCTATCGAAGGTGGCTTCTTGTGAGCGCTCCTCGCCACTGTTTCTGAATCAGGACAATGGCATAGCTGTGCTCCACCCCGACGCTGTGGAGCAACTGCTGAAGAGCACCGATGGTCCACTTTTCAATCTGCTTCGCAAACGTGGACACAGTGATCGTGCATTCCATCGCCGCGTTGCACGTGACCAAGACATCGGACGGTACGCTCGTATGAACCTGGAAGGACACTACGCATTCTTTCTTGGCGGTGTCCCACAACTTGATGGTGTGGTCGTGACCAAGGGAGAAGACAAAGTTGTGATGTCGAGGGATCCATCGCAAGAACTGGATGCCGCCGAAGTGCGCCGCCGCCACAATCATGTTGGTTTGTAACGTTTCCACGTTCACAATTCGGAGAACGCCATGCTGCACACGCTTCTCGCCCACGGCCACTTGGCTTCCCATAGCTGCAAACTCCACACACGTTGGTTTGTGTGTGAGGGGGACTTGCTGCCGTCGATAGCCCTGCGCCATCGTCACAACTTCCATGGCAGCGTTCTTTCCATACATGATGCAAAAGTGAGGAAGCCACGGGCTCGTGGCAATCACATGTGCACGTTTCGCACAGGTCAACGCATGCGTGGGCAGCTGCGACTCGACCACTCCGTCTTTGCGAATGGCGTACAAGAGTATGGTGTGTTGCATATCCGACAGCAGCAGCCACGCATTCTGGCCCACGAACGCCACTCGTCGAATAGATGTCAGCGACGTCGCCATGCACAGTTCCGTGGATGTCGCAGCGCAGGGATTCGTCGGTTGCCTCGGCAACGACTTGTTCCGCTTCACGTCGTCTTCAGGGAGGACAATAGCCACAGAGTCGACTCGAAGCACTCCATTGGCCATGCCAAGGTAGACACGTGGTCGGTGGTTCTCTGGTAGGCAAGGGCTAGGCTGAGACGGCTTGGCTGGGTGTACAAGTGGAGTAGGCCCAGGGCTAGCAGAATCGGCCATGGTGGCCATAGCAACCACTGGGACATCCGACGTTACATTGGATCCCAGGCACGATGATGAGTCGTAGAGTAGCTTCGAGTTGGTCGAGCCAAACACTGGACCATGCATCGTGCGATAGCACATGCAGTAGTGGGGTAAGCTCGCCATGCTATGCACCACATGGGGAGTCTTGTGGCGGTAGACTAGACTCGGGGTCAACGTTGCTACGAGAAGCCACCACGAATTAGAATACGACTATAAGTGTTCTTTTCGTTTCCTGAGTTTGGATAGAGTAAGCAAGTGGGATTGAGTGAACTGACCAGTGGACACTAGACACGGAGTAGACTCAATCACGCCATCGTCGTTACTGCATCGACAAGTATACGCCCCACACATGGCCTTTGTGAAGAATTGGATCTTCAAAAAGCACGAGCGGGTGCCACGGAAGCCAGGCGCGTCCTCTGGGATGGGCGCCCCGTTGAAACACCACGTGTACGTGTCTGATTGATCGGCCACAACACTCACGAACGCGCTCCGGCCTGGGAATAGCACGACGGACGGAGGCGGGTGTCGGCGAATCGAAGGAGCATATGCTGCCACAACCATGAGCATGTTAATGCCAGATGATGCAAATAAGTACTTTGGTTGGGGTCCAAGCCCCGAGCTGCCTTCTTGGCCCGCATTAGTGCCACACGGCGGCGCTCTTGGGCGGCATCTTCCAGTTTCTCCAGGTCTAGTCCAGACAAAACTATAGACGCACTCCAAAGTTTTCGAGTTTCTCAAAAATGTCCTTTTATCCGAAACGAATCACAAGAAAAATCCAAATTTCAACTTTTTGGGTGAGTCATAACTATAGACGCACTTTGTGATTCGACGTGGAACTCGCGGAGCCGAGCTTCCTCCACGACCTTGGCTTCTTGAACCTTTTGTAACGCTTCCTCTAACCAGAATGGTTAAATATATTAGACATTGTGTACTTGCAAATGAGTACCTGGCTCAAATGCGTTGCGAGGGGATAAGAGCACCCGAAGGCGCTCTAATCCATCCAAGATGACTGTATTATCCCCAGCATTCTCTTGAATGGCTCGAACGGCCTTCATCACGCCTTCCAAACTGTGTGCAAACCCAAATCTAGCCCACGAATATGGAAATATTACAGCGTTGAGAAGGGGAAAACTATTCGGTGTGATCACTATCTACCTCGTGACAACGCTCCCGACAGCTTCCAACGCCACAGACGTGTGCTGCTACTCGACATGGTTTAGGAATAAAAACAATCCCAAGACAATTCGTACCAGCACCATGTCCATGAATCGGGTGTGCGCTATCCACAGTCACGACGTTCACAAGACATTCGACGCGCAATCGACGTACCTTTTGATTCGTCCAGACGACGCTTGAAGTGCGGATCCTGAAAAGCCCCCAGCACTTGACGCAGCATCTCTGTAATGCACCCACAATGACGTCATCGTAGTCGCGGGACCTCGTACCTGTTGCAACATCCGCCTCGAGTTTTTCCATTTCCCGCAGCCGATCATTCGGGACAGCATGGGCGTACACGTTTCGTGTCGACACGCCACACATGCGACATCGTACATGTTGCGTCTTGATGTCGAGGACGACGTTCTTGCTTCCGCACACTAGGCAATCAAACGGATGTTCCTTTGCCTACGCAGGATCGTCCGTAACTTGTCGACTCGTTCGATCATAATCCAACAGTAAGTCTCCGAGTATAATCATGAAAACCAGTACCTTTGCGTCCACTACAGCGGATGCCCACCGCACATGATCGTCACCAACAGTGCCGACACTGTCGGGCGGTGTTGGGTCGTCACGCATGATCCGTCGGGTTTGGCAGTTACACGTTGAAGGCCGACGGTGGTTAATGATTGGCTGGATTCAAGATGTTCACCGGGGATTGGCTGAAATCGCAGGGTTGGTCGGTGATTGGCTAGATTCACCAGATCTATTTTTAGATATTCCTTCCGTCTGTCACCCGACACCAAACGCCACAAAGTGCAAATCGCCATGACATACACGGACTATGTGCAGGGTTGGCTGAGCTACGTGGCGCTCGTGATTCATTTTGTGGTGGAGAAGGTATGGACATCGGTGGGGGTGCCGACGCCGTCCTCTGCCTCGGCGGCTCCTGGAGAAGACGACAAAGATGCGTCCCATCTGCTGCTTGGTGGCGGCGCCTACTCGCGGTCGTCGTCGTCAACGTTGACGCCTGAAATTTCCGAGGACAGCACAATTGTAATCATCCACCACGGCAGCGTGGCCCAGTTCTGCGGCACTCCAGACGTTATTGAGCATAGAACTATGGAAGAGTTCTGCAGTCCACCGCCCCAAAACAACGAGCAGCTGCTCGAGTACATTGACGGGTACGTGGGGTGGCTGACGTCTCCCCGTCAAGACAACAAGCACATGCGTCGAGTCAGTACTGCCAACAAAGCCAAAGAGTTCATGCAATGGCTGGACTGTGAACCAGAAGCGGACCAACCTTTCGTCGGTGATGGAAAAGGCACTGTCGCCAGTGGAAGCGACAACCAAGAAGAGCCTGAATGCGATGCCTTCGACCTGTCAAAGGAAGAGTATGGTGGGGTCGCGGCGCCATGGGATGCGGAGGCGTACAATGCCGTGTGAGCAAGCCCTGACTCATCATATTTATAAACCATAAATATCAATCACGTTTCATTTTATTACCGTGCCAGTCGCTTGGCACACTCCAGGGATAGCTTATACCTCTAATCGTACTATCTACCTACCTAACGTAGCGTGAATGCTTGCAAGTAACTCTTGACGAGAACAAGTGGCAGAATAGTTATTGACTCATGCATCGAAGCTCCTTCAATCAAGTCACATCATGGCGATATTGACTGACTATGGAGTTGAAATCCACAGCATGTACGGCCCGTCATAATGTGCTTGGACGTGGCTGAAGTCGGTTGGATCCCTCAGCATGCGCCATGATAGTTGTCTGTGCATCTCGCTATCCACGCCGCCATCTTGTTGACCCGTGAAATGCAGTGACGGTTTCAGGTTTCTTTCACAAACGCCCAATATTCGACAACTTTCACACGACAGAGGTATATAGCATCTCATGCGGTCACCTGCGATGAAACCACGTATATCGGATGGAATGCGACGACGAATTTACCGTATTTAGCAGCATTTTACACAGCAAGAAGAGATGTAGTGGCTTGTTGAAGCTCTCATAAAGTACTTTGTCTTCAAATGTGATTAAACTTGACCTGAGGACGTGACCATTGCGATGGTCGAGGACTTGATAAGGACATCAAACCTCTCTCTATTTACATTTGATTCTAGTATGTCATGTACACCGGCCGGACTCCGTGGATATTCTATTTTTGCCAACCGCACACACTTTTTTCGTGACATAAGTATGTCCACGGTCGGTGGTATCGACGACGTCGGCGCCCGCGATGCCGCTCTTCATGGAGGTTTCCACGTCGCGCAAGGCCACTTTACATATCACCCATCGCCAGACTCAGACAAGTGCATCTTCGAACATTTCCACCGGTCTGCCGAATCCTGGGCTGCGTTCACCAAGGCGATCGAGGGTTCGACGCGGCAAGTCAAGGTGATTTATTTCATTCGCCATGCTGAGGGCGAACACAATGCCGCCAAGGTCCGACATGGTGCCGAAGTGTGGTTCCGAGACATCGCATGCACAGACTTGTACTTAGATGCGCTTCTGACGGCGAAAGGCGAAGCTGCCGCCACCGTCACCGCAGCACGCGTGGAAGCAGAGCTCGACCGGGGCATGCCGTTGCAAAAGATCATCGTGTCTCCCATGCGACGCACGCTTCAGACCGCGACGTCCATCTTCCGTCGACAGCTTGGACATGTGCCGTTCGTGGCCTTGGAGCTTTGTCGGGAAACCATCGGCATGCACACTTGCGACAAACGAAGCGCCATCTCGACGTTGTCACCGCTGTTTCCGTCGGTCGACTTCTCACACATCCGAGACGACGTGGACACGCTGTGGCGACCAGACTTGCGGGAATCCCTGGACGACATACAGTCCCGCGCCGTGACCTTCCTGCGACAGCTACATGCAGACGTACCCGACACATTCATCGCCGTGGTGTCTCACGTTGGATTCATCACCGCCTGTTTGCGGGTGCTGCACATGCCAGAATACCGCGTCGGCAACTGCGAGCTTGTGCCTGTGGTGCTCGACGTCCACGACAACCACATCCCATCCCCTGAAGTGGTTCCGTATGACGTGGCAATTTCCTAGAGCAGCAGCGTCGTCGTTACCTCAAGTACCCCAACACTTCAACTTGCAACTCCTTTTAATTCTTTTAGTAACAACGGCTGTAAAACCTTAACGGTACAGTAACTTCCCCGAGGTTGCACTGTACATCAACAGATCCGTAAAGTTACGGAAAACTTTACGGTAAAGTTAACGACCGTGCATAGTTGCATACTTGACCCATTTGGTTATAACGACAACGGCAATCGCGAGGAGTAGCGTGGACATGCAGCTTATATCGTCGTCGTCTTCTATGAGGTGGTTATTGGTGGGGTTCAGTGCAGAGGTCATGGCCACAACCACTGGCACCACTTCGCAGTTGGCAGGTTTATAGCTCGGCATGCCCAGCACGTCCATGCACGCTTGGATGAAGCCGCCATGGGACACCACCGCAAGATAGGTGTCGGGAACGGTGTAGAACACTTCGTGGAGGAAGTCACGGCATCGCGCGTGGATTTCGTCGGTGGTTTCTCGATGCGACGGATGCCACAAGATGTCGACGTTAGGCTCGATGCGACTCCAGTCGACATGGGGAAAGTCGGCTTCGAGGGACGCGGTCGGCCGCCGCTTGTCACAGGTGTGGACCCCCAGCGTTTCCCTGGCGGATTCGATGGCATGCACGGGAACTTGTGAAGTCGTAGGTGACGTGAGATTGAAGTAAAGATTGGCTGTTTGGACGGTGCGGGTCAACGGCGACACGAGGATGCGATCGAGGGGCATGCCGGCGTCGAGTTCCCCACGCATGGAGATGGACCGCTTCGATGCGTCGGCGATCCCCGCTGCATTCAACTCCGCATCCAAGTACGCATCTTGTTTGGACACCGAATGGTCCCATACTGCAGTGCCGTGGTGTTTTTCCGCGGCATTGTGATGGCCTTCGGCGTGTCGAATAAAGTACAACACCTTAACGGCGTCGGTGCTGATCGCGAGGGAAGAAATATGGTGGCGAAACGCATGCCACGACGTGGGAATGCGGGTATATTGATCGAAGAGCTTTGATGCAGGACGATTGATGCCCTCCGCTGTTGCTGCTTCGTATGCGAAGAACCCATCCAAGCTCCGGAAAGTCATCGCTGAAGCCGTCATCGTGCTGTTCGTCGGATGTCGCTCCGCCATGTCAAGATATGAAATATCATCCCAAACATTTAATTCGCATACGGACTCCAAGGCATAAAAAGGGCTGACAGAACCACCATACAGCACTCGGATTGGCTAGACGCCATTTCTATCGGCCAATTGAATGGCTTCAATTTGTTACATCGCATGCATCCGGATAATAAAATATGGTTCGGATAACATTTCTAATTGTGATTGGCCAAGACTTATCCAATTGAGAACTGTGCTCGACAATGTTGGTTTCCACGGCTTTCGGCGGCAACACCATCGACGAACATGACTACTGCCACGCAGCTGACCACGCTTCGTGTATTGACCGACCCAGGTCTTTACCTGCTCATCAATGCGTTCAACGACGGTCTCGAGTTCAAGCACTGGACAAGTGCAGACCACGCTGCGTATGCTGGGCATCTTTACATTTTGCAGACGCGCATGCAAGAAGGACTCGAGTTGGCGGCCACCACAAACGCCATGGACTGGGCAGCGTGCAACGGACACATGGAGCTGCTGAAATGGCTTCACAATCACCACGATCGAGGGTGTACGTTTCGAGCGATGGACTGGGCCGCGAACCACGGCCGTCTCGAAGTCGTCCAGTGGCTGCATGTGAATCGAACGGAAGGGTGCAGTGCTGGCGCGATCGACAACGCCGCATCTGGTGGCCACGTGCATGTGGTATGTATCGATATGACGCTTCACAGATTGGACTAATCTAGCTGAAGGTGGAATGGCTGCTGGCGAATCGACCCGAAGGATGCAGTGTCCATGCAATGGACAGCGCAGCACGGCACGGCCGAGTGGACATGCTAGCGTATCTCCACGCACACACATCGGAAGGGTGGAGCGTCATGGCCATGAACGAAGCGGCGGGGTATGGGCACTTGTCGTGTGTGCAGTGGCTTCATGCCAACAAGGACCACAACGCAGCTTTGCTGAAGGAGGGCGAAAACGACCTCGAGAATGACGCTGCCAAGGCGGTTTTGCTGGAAGAATTGTTTGGCGGAGACGACGAGTACGACGAGCCGTTTGACGAGACTGCGTTTACGTCCGAGTTGCCGTACATTCCAGACTTGGAGTTCATCGACGAAGAGCATTTTGATCGAGCCCACCTGGATCATGATGTAGTAGAAGACAAGGTGATGCTCGGTCCATTGGACATCGCCGCATCCAAAGGCCAGTTGGCGGTCGTCCAGTGGCTTCACGGCGCTGGATACCCTTGTACGACCTACGCCATGGACTCGGCCGTCGGCAATGGCCATCTAGAATGCTTCAAGTGGCTCGCAGCCCATCGAGCAGAAGGTTGCACGACCTTGGGTATGGATGTTGCCGCGGAAAATGGACATTTGGAGGTACGTATATCTTTCCTTCATACCTCGTGACATCCCCTAATCCGTATTGTGTAGATTGTACGATATCTGCACGAACATCGCGCAGAAGGTTGCACATACGATGCCATGAATCACGCAGCGCGCAATGGCCATTTGGATGTGGTGGCGTTTCTGCATGCATATCGACGAGAGGGGTGTACGACAGCCGCGATCGACGGCGCGGCGGAAAATGGCCATCTGGAGGTTGTGCAGTGGTTGTTCCGACATCGAGAGGAAGGCTGTACGACCGAGGCAATGGACAAAGCAGCGTCCAAGGGACATTTGGACGTGGTGCGGTGGCTGCACTTTGATGCCCACCAACAGTGTACGACCTGTGCCATGGATTGCGCCGCCGAAAACGGCCATCTGGAGGTCGTCCAATTCCTGCACGAGCAACGGTCCGAGGGTTGTACGACCGAAGCCATGGACACGGCGGCTTTTCAAGGCCATTTAGAAGTTGTCCAGTGGCTCCATGCCCATCGTACCGAAGGGTGTACGGAACATGCGATCGACGGCGCCGCGGAAAATGGCCATCTGGCCGTACGTTGCCGACTTTGCACCCAACGCGACACGTCATCGCATGTATACGTTAGGTGGTGGAGTGGTTGCACTGGAATCGGGCCGAGGGGTGCACCACCGACGCCATGGATCGCGCCGCGCGGAATGGACATTTGAGTGTGGTGCAATTCCTGCACTCGAACCGCCACGAAGGTTGTGTTGAATGCGTTGAAGTAATAACTACTATTGGAGCAGGTTGCACGGTGCACGCGATCGATCGGGCGGCTGGCAATGGGTACTTGGCCACGGTGCAGTGGCTTGTGGAGCATCGGGACGAAGGTTTCACCGGTGCAGCGTACGAACAAGCCGACGACTACGGGTACAACAACGTAATTCAGTACCTGACGTCGCTGCAAGAGGCTGAAGATGCGCTAGAAGACGAGGACATTGTGAACACAACGTACTAAGAGACCAACAATAATCTGGACCTGTTGCCTAAACACTGATGACCTAGAAATGGTGGCATTCTTGGCGATAGAATGGGCAACACATAAGTCCGCTACTAGCGGCCTTCCGATATTTGGTTGTACCTGGTATACAGCTACGATCTCCTTCCATTTTCAATCAGTAGAGCTGCATGGATGGGACCAACTCACGATAAGAAGCATGGGCATGGCACTGTCATTCAATCGAGGGTACTATTGAGCAGTTGAGTGAGGCGAGGGGTCGCGGTAAAAATGATCTTGGGATTTGTATGTGAGGTTCGGACGACCAACATTCTCGAAATCTCGCTGGAACGAGTACAGTGTAGTTCTGTAGTTTGCGGTATCGGTAATCGACGGCGAGTCGGCGTCGCCTTTGTAGATAGAGCGTATCAACATGGGCCCAGACACATCGCTAGCTTCCTCAGCGCCACCTACTATATCATCATCATCATGCGCTATCCGCGTGGTGGTTCGTGTGCGGCCAATGAGCCATAAGGAGAAGGCCGCTAGCCAAGTTCCTGTCGTGGAGGTCAACACAAAGAACTCGTTGCAGCTGCGGCAGCCCGGCGTCGGGGACCAGGACACGAACCCGCCGCGCACGTTTCTCTTTGACCATTGCTACGGCGACGCGCTGTCGACGGGAAAAGACGACCCGGTGCAGGAGGCGCTGTTCGGCGACATTGGTCGGGACATTGTCGTGAACGCGTTCGGCGGGTTCAACTGCAGCGTGTTTGCCTACGGACAGGTACGACATGCAATCCAGCACGCCTGCCCTCTTTACATGGTCCTTGGTCTTCAAGAACATGACGGACGGCTCCTAGACGGGCAGCGGCAAGACGTACACGATGGTGGGCGACAAGTCCGAACGCGGCAAAGGGCTGATTCCGCGTATTTGCGAAGCCCTGTTTGACGCAATCGACAAAGCTCGTGCCAAGGACAGCACGAGCTCGGACGACCCGCACAAGACCATCTACAGCGTCCATGTACGGAACGTGCGCACTTGCCACGCAATTGTGACAACGTCATGGGTAGATGAATTACTGCGAGATTTACAAGGAACGAGTTAAAGACTTGCTGGATGAAGTCAAGGCGCCGATGCATGGTCTGATGTCTCCCACGGCGGACAGTTCGTCCCGACCGCTCAAGATCCGTGAACATCCTGTGCATGGGCCGTTTGTGGAAGGGCTGATTACGCGCCCGGTGGGGTCGTACGCAGAGGTATACGTCATCACATATCATTTTCAAATCGACCAACGGCACATTGCACACTAACATGACGTTGCCAACTCTCTTTCAAGCTTCGTTCTGACATTCTAATGTTAGATCGAAGAAGAACTGATCGCCGGGCAAAAGCTGCGCACTGTGGCCGCCACCCTTATGAACCCCACGTCGTCTCGGTCGCATGCTATTTTCACAATCATGTTCACACAGGTACACCACACTCTACTCTCCACCCATATTCCAAAGTAGACAATATATATAATATATATATACTATATATATATGTAGTATTGTTTACATTTTATATGGGTTCTCATCCATATTCCACGGTTGACAATGTATATATATAGTATTGTTTACATTTTATATGGGTTCTCATCCATTCCACGGTAGACAATATATATATCTAGTATTGTTAACATTTTATATGGGTTCTCATCCATCGTAGACGCGCGTGGACCCTGTCACATTAAGTGCCCATGAAAAGGTTTATACATTGCCTTGGTTGGGACTGTATAGTATGTACATGAGTCACAGTGTTATGGCAGACGTCCAAGATTTGCTTGGTGGATTTGGCCGGGTCTGAGCGCAGTGACACGTCGGGCACGTCTGGCGACCGGCTCAAGGAGGCGTCGATGATCAACAAGAGCTTGTTTACCCTCGGGCGAGTGATTTCGTCGCTGGGGGCCAAGGAACGGATTCCGTATCGAGATAGTACTCTGACGTGGCTGTTGAAAGAGTCGCTGGGGGGCAATGCCAAGGTACGAACTACCTACCTCGCAATAGGCCTTCGTTATATACTTGCCGTCTTTTATTTCCCCAACTGGATGATATGGGAAAAACGTAGACGACAATGCTGGCAATGGTGAGTCCGGCCAGTGCCAACTATGACGAAACGTTGAGCACGCTGCGGTACGCCGAGTCGGCCAAGAAGATCATCAACCGGGCCGTGGTCAACGAAGATGAAAACGACGCCATCATTCGGCAACTCCGCAACCAAATCGAAGACCTCAAGGGCCAACTGATGGGGTCGCAGCGCCGCCGCAGCTCGGAAACCAGCGCCGGCCTCGTGAAATCGCTTCTGGAGCGCGAAGAGATGCTCGGGCAGCTCCAGCGCGATGTCAAGCGCCATGAAAAGTGTCTGCAGTTACCGTCTGGGGACCCGAGTTTGATCAACTTGCAGGAAGATTTGCTGGACAACGAGCCGCTGGCGTACGTGCTGGAGCCAGGGATGACGGTACTGGGTGCCGACCCCACGGCGACGTTTCAGGAACCCGGCAGCACCACCACCGACCACGTTCACCGACGGAGTTCGTTTCTGGGCGATGTGGTAAACACGGAAAAAATACTTCGAGTTGAGGGGAATGAGTTGGATGTAGATCCTTCAGCAAGCCGACAACCAAGCGGTGCACCCCGTACATTTGACGCACGACGCCGACACCCTCCTTCCCGTGCACGTCAAGATCTTGAATGACAAGGGCTTTATCACGCTCGAGCCGTGTCCCTCGGCGATCGTATATGTTAACGGTAGCTACACGACGACTTGAAATAATCAAAATGCGAAGACGGCAATAATGTCGTTGGTTGGTTGTAGGGGTATCCATTCACAGCTTTACACCACTAAAACACAGAGACCGGATTCAAGTGGGCCTCCATCACAACTTTCGAGTGTTTGGTACTACTATATATATATATATATATACATTGACTTCTGTGCTGATTCACGAAATCTATCGATTGATTCTTTGTACTGACTTTTGTATGTAAAAACGTCCAGCATCACACTATTTTCAGTCACACACTAATTCGGTGTTGAATTGGTCGAAGAGTGAATTTGATTGGCCACTTGATTCGTGTTCTGGGTTTTGATTGGTCGATCTTCGATTGTCTGGCGATTTGGTTCTTCTGCTCATTGACCACCCAAACACTCCAATTTCGAATCGACTTGACGATTTATACATTGAAGTTGGAGACTTATGTCGGCCTATTCTGGGTAGTGCCATCCGAAGCGCGGTGTCGACGCCATACGAGCAAGACAGACACACAAACCGAAGGTGCTTCCTTGTCTATGAAAAAAGGTCGAGTTGTTGAAGGTCGATGTAGAGGCCAATGCATTGTGTGCACAAGCGGACATTCCGTACCGATTCCAGCGGCAAGTGACCAGCGACGTGTCTATTCTCATGGCAGACACTGGAAAAGAGTGTGGGATTACATGGGACCCCCCCTTGTTTATCGACAGGTTAGACACATTGCGCGCGTACAACGCCGATCGAATCGACAAAGCGGTGCTCGTGTCCATGTTGGGTCTGCCGCCTCTATCCGTACAGACGGGCGAGATGGATCCAATAGAGGACAACGAGGAGGAAGTCGCGGTAGATGAAACAGACGACACCACCATCGACGACGAAGCACATCTTGGTGTTGTGGCAGCAAACCCCCTCACGATTGAAATCCCCCCGCCGTTGCAGTTCGCGAGCAAGCACCCGGACGCTGATCCGCAGTTCCAACCTCGGTCCAGCGCCGTGCGCTTGATGGGGGAAGCTCGTCTGTACTCTGGCGGTGGCGGGGTGGCTTGCTCCATTCCCAATAGCGTCTCCACCAAAAAGATCCACATGGTCGATCGAGTCGTGTCCGTCTTCGACCCCGTGGGGCTGCATGTGGCGTCGATTACGCTGGAAATGACGACCGAGTATTATCAAAAGACCAACCCGGATGTGTCCAAGCATGTGATCTCGGTGGTGTGGAAAGAGCTGCGCTTTCACACGCCGCAGCTGTCGTCGGAAGGCGTGTACATTTCGTACCACGGGTGGGCTACCAAGCGCGGGTACGTACACGCCAAACTGACCAAGTTGACTCTTTTGGGTTGGAATGTCATGTGCACACTGGTCCGTAGGGCGACCCCCAAAGTCACGAGCATCACGGGGGTGTTTGCATTTGGCCATCAACGCACGTCGTTTGAGGTTTTGGTTCCCAGGAAACAAAATGTCGACGAGTTTTTTCAAAACGAATACTTGAGTATGGATGTGTGGGGATGGGGCAAAGTGCCGCCGTCGCCCCTGTCGAGGCCACTGTCGTCGTCGTCATCGTCATCGTCACTGCTGTCTGAATTGTCCACGTCCAGTCTACAGCAGGACCCCCTCCTGCCACGGCGACCGCACACGTCCAAGGTGGATGTGTTCGTGTCGGTGGACGTGGAAGAGCGGCGCAAGGCCGATGGACTGTACGCGCCGGTGACTGTCAAGGAGGATGGGACGCTGCGGCTGTCTCAACACACGTCGAGGCGGTTGGTGGTGCGGGTCGTGCAAGCCGACCAGCAGCCATTTTGCCTTGGATCGATCGCGCACATCCGCATTGCGCCGGCACGACCCACGACGGGCCACTCGAAGAGCCAGTCCCAATTCGAGGCTGCCACCGCGCTGGGCTCGGCCACGCTCGGCGGGTTCTTTAAGCGCTTTGGCACCAAGGACGTACGTGATTTCACATGTGTTTTTGCCCATGTGGTTTCTTAACTGACGCCTCATTGGTTTGTGGTGCCGACATTGCCCTTTGTAGACACTAGAGCCGCACATGGAAGACTGGACGACGTGGACGACGCTGCCGATCCGGGGGCCGATTCAAGTGGACAAGGAGGCGCGGTCCGTGGTGTGTGTGATGAAGTGGGACGCCGACCCCCGCGAGGCCGTCGACGGGCGCGGCCAACGGCGTGTATTTCGCATTGCATTGGCGGTGGAAACCACGCTGTCGTGCGTGCCAGTGGTGCTCTCGACCAAGTTCACGGCCAAAGTACTCGGCAAGATGAAAAAGGACACGGTGTGGTGGGCTCGCGAGCACGTGAGTCGCATGCATCGGTTAGGGCACTGGTTTTCCATGGATGTGGGTCTCGACGACGACGCGCCTCGGACCGAGGTCGTGGCCGAGAAATTGCTTGATCATTTCGGAAAAGGAATGGAAAAGCTGCAAGCTGCGTACAAACTCGAACGATTCCGCCAGCAAGTGGCTGCCGAAGCGGCCGTCCATGGCGAAGCTGCGTTGATTCGAGTGGCCAACCTACCAGACTTGGAGTTTCAATTGACCAGAGAGCGCGACGAGTGGACTATTGCCAGTCGGTCCATGCCCCAAGTGACTATTCACGTCATGTCTGGCGTACAAATGAACCCTCCGGCAGCACCCCCCAACTTCTCCACGCACAAGACACGTGCGCTGACAGACCCGTCGCCGTCGGATCCGCTGGCGGGCGAGTGGAGCGGCTACCTCATGCAAGCGACTAGTTCGTCGTCCATGTGGAACCGAAGGTGGTTTGTGTTGCAACGGCCGTTGCTGTGTTGCTACAAGACGTTCGCCAAGGGGGAGGTTGTGGGCGTGCTGGACATTTCGAAATGCACTGTCGAGATCGACAAGCACATGACGCTGTTTCCGTTTTCATTTCGAGTGACGAGTGTGGTGGACAAGGTGCCTATGACGTGGCAACTGCAAGCGTCCAGTGCCGATGAAATGCAAGCGTGGATCCACGGCATTGCCCCCGCGGCGATGTTAGACAAGCAGTACTAAGTAGAGTATACAACACCACTCAATTGGTACTCGATAGAGTGTCTGTCCAATGTGGCCGCGAATTCCATCGGACAACGAACGAATCAAAATAGAACGCCTTATTTGTACATTGTTGTTGGCACATTCCGTGTACTATACTTATGCAGTGGGGTCCACGGCCTTTTCCACGGGAACGCCCAAGCGCTTGGGGAGCCACGACATGTCCTTGGCCAGCAGCTTTTGGTACGCAAACGACTCGGTGCCGTTCATATTGGTCGATGGTTTCGAGTCCAAGTACATGATAAAAAACAAGTAGTTCCACAGGTTGTGCTCGGTTTCAGTGTGCCGCTTGAAGTTGTTGGTGAACCCGCCAAGGATGCCGCGGTACTCGATGTCGTCCTTGGAGTCGTTGCAGACGAGGCACGTGTTCATTTCGATCTCGAGCTTGCGTTCTGACGACTCGCGCAGCGACGTGAACGAGTCGATGATGATACCCATGATGAGGTTGATCAGTAGCACGAGGATGAAAATGTAAAACGCCAAGTCGAACACAAGCCGCTCGTGGAACATCGTGCCCGTGGCGTAGTCCAACGGGTGCGCGAGCGTGTTGGAAATGTAGTCGCCAATGCCGCCGCCGCTCAAGAGTCCGTAATGCATAAACGTAAAGTAGCACTGCATCAAGGACGAGCACTGGAGCTCGGATGCACTGTCTGTCATCAAGTCTTGGTATCTGAAGAACCCGACGAGCGAAAACAAGTAGATCACAATCGCTCCAAACGCGAGGGTTACGCTGAGGGGGGCCACGTTCGACGTCACAGCTTTCAACTACATATATCGACCAACGTAAGAGTAGAGTCTTGAGCGAACGACACGTACGATGTTGGACAGTCGTGCGTTGATCGCCAAAATGTCGAGCAGGGGAAGGCCATACCACATGAAGCACGAGTACCCTGTATCATGCGCCAGGCCCATGAACGCACAAAACGTGTACGTGGTAAACACGTAAAAGTTGTCCCGTGTGATTGTGTCGATCATCGCGTTGAACCAAAACAGCATGTTGGAGCCCGCGCCCTGGGTATTCTTGACCTTTTCACCTTCGACGTATGCAAAATGGTAAATGTCGCCAATCTTTCGAAGCGACAGCACCACCAGTACTGCAATGTACGCGCCCGACACTTTTAAAATCACAAACGTCACGTCGTCGTCGAACCCGAATTCCATGATGATGACGGCAAAAATCGCCAGCCAACCCACTACATCACGCCGCATGGCAACTCTTGTGGGAATGAAAGGTTTATACTGGTGTTCGTACCAATCGTGTAGCCAGCAGAACCCACGGCGTTCCAAATCTCGTGCTTGATCTCGTCTCTGGTCATGCGGCGAAGCTTGCTGGGGCGGAGGAGTTGCCTCGCGTACGAAAACGTCGTTTCTGTGATCACATTGTACAGCCACAAGCAGCTGCACAAAATGCAAAACACACCCCCAAGCACCGACAAAAACCATTCAATCTACAGATATATATATATATATATGAGACCATATCGACATTATTACAGTGTCACCGTACCCAGATGTGCACGACGGGGTCTGCTGTGTCCGGATTGAGCGCCAGGCCCAGCACCATGACAAAGTTGATGTAAAACCCCACTGCGAACATCCACCATCGAATAATCGTTTGCCACTCGTTCATCCACGCGTACTCGACGTTGGATGCAAGCACATGTCGAGCACGCAGCTCTTCGGCGAGGTTCCTACACACGACGCATCCATCGTGCATTGAGCAATCGATCCAATACACAAATGACACGCACCGCGCATCGGTGGATGTAAACGCAACCAGCGCGTTGTCTTCGCCGAGGTCCATGATGTCCAGCAGGCGTCGCTTCTCCGGCTGTCGAAGGAACTTGGCTTCCTTTGGCTGCGGAAAGTACACGTTGATGGCCGAGTCGCCACGAACAATCTCGACGCTGATGATTTGCTTGGCAAAAAAGTCCACGTCGTCGTTGCCGACCTGCACTTCGTCCCAGTGCTTGGCGAATTGGACCAGCACCTCGTTGTCCCAGTCCGCTGTCGCGGCTTTCGACAAGAGCGAATACACCACGCGCAACAGTTCAATCGTTTCCATAAAGTATGCATCGGCCAATTCAAGTTTGCGTGATGCCTTGCGCAATTCCTACACACACATCAGCAATGTCGTCATCGAGAATAGTTCTACTACTCTCTCACCTTGATTTGGGCTCGATTGGCAGAAATGACATCGAGCAGAGGTTGAGGACGCAGGAGCTCGGCCAGGTGAACGTGCACGAGGTCGTCCGTTCGGCCTTCACCCAGCGACAACAAGAGTTCATTGGATCGGTGCTTTAGCCTCGTCAAGTGGAGCGGATACTGGCCATTCTCGCACTTGATCTTGTCCAAACTCAAGTCGGCACACAGCCGCGGGACCACCGACTCGACGAGGTATTGCTGGTTGTCCAAGCACGGGCCTTGGCACACTTCGCTCAAAAACACCAACGAACTGGTCAAGATTTCAATGTTGGCGAGCGAAAACATGCCGTCGGCTTGGTTGCAGATCCGGGACATGAGGTTGATCACCGTGTCGAGAACACTGCGATGGAACCGACTGCTGCGCATGACGTTTTGCCAGTTGGCGTGGTGGCCTTCGCACAGTTGTTGGAACAACTTCAACGTCACGACGGTGATCTCGTGGGAAATGCCGCCGACGTGCGACGTCAGGAACTGAAACAGCAGGCCCTTGTAGTGCACGTCGAGCGAGTCGTATCCTGCGTACAACGAGTCTTGGCCTTCCTTGAACCCGTCTGCCAACAGTTCCGAGATCAGATCCATGGCCAACCGACTCTTCGTGGGACTCAGCGCCTCCTTCATGCTCTCCCCCACGCACCAAAACACGAGCGACGTCGCGTTCGCTTTGACCGCCGTAGAGATCATCTTCTTCCACTCGAGTCGAGAATGAAGCAAAAACTTCTGGTTGAGAACGGTCCTGTCTGCAGCCACCACGCGTTTCGACGCCAACGACTGGATAAACACGCGAAGACCCAAGATGGACGCCGACGAGGACAACGTAATGAGTCGGACGAGGGACTCCATGAGGGTTTGCGTATCCAACGGCTCTGCCTTGCTCGTCCACTTCTTGTACGCTTGATGCACTGGCGAATCATGCACGTCCACGACGTCGGCGTCGTCGTCTGCGTCGTCGTCGGGGGGTATGTCCATGGTAAAGTAGTTCTTTCCACCAAATTTGCGTTCGTTGGGTTTGGCCCGCGGCGTCTTGAGTTGCTTGTGCAGGTACGATCGAGGCCACTTGAACGATTTGGCGGTGGCGTTGGCGACGGCAGTCATTTCTTGCTGTTCCATGATCAATGCAAGCAAATCGGGCTGGGCCTGGTCCATTTGAATCTGCACGAGGTAGTCCGCCACCCTTTGCAAGTGCTTCAAGTCGTTGTCGATCCCGGCGCATTGAGCGATCTTCTTGGTCGAGCGGAGGACGTTGGACGGGATTTGCTTTTGCGAGTCGTTGTACAACAAGTACGGCGCCATGTTGTCTGCCAACAGCTTGCCGGTTTGCCTATAGAATTGGCACTTGCACGCATTCGGGTCCATTTCGTTGTTCAATTTGATGGCAAACTTGGGGTCTTCGTACAAGCACTTGATTTCACGGGCTGCCATCGTCACTTGAATCATGTTGGAGCACACGGATGGAACGCCCAACGACGCCACAATGCTGTCCAGTCGCTGTTCGGCGTTGGAGCAGTGGATGCGATGGTCGTTTGCGATTTCCTTGAGCAAGCCGGCGATGGATTCAAGGGTGTCGCGAACTTGGACATGAAAATCGCGAATAAACACGTTCAAGTGCTTGTACTTGAGAGCCAACGCGTTCCAGGCACGGACGAACGGTATAATGCCAAGCAACAATACCGATTCGTTAAACGCACCACTCGCCAGATGTTGTCGACAGAACTCAAACGCCTTGATGGTTTTGGGCAAGTCGGTACTCATCCACGACGTTGCCACATCACTCTCCAAGTACATGGTCTTGATCAGTTGAAGGCTGGCGCGTTGGGCGTCCACCGAGGCGAGTGACAGCATGTCCACCATCCATTCCAGCGGCATCAACGACTTGCTTTCGAGGTGTCCGTAGATGCTTTCGTTGGTCGACCCGTCCGCCACGAGGCATATAATTTCAAACGTGTGGAAGTTACTCGTCAACAATGTCGTCACCGAGGCCAAATCAAAGTTGGAATGGAACAGAAACACCATCGTTTCGCGTTTCCAGTCGTCGCTGTTGGATTGCCGCAACATGTGCAGCACACATTGACCCGCTTCGTCGCTGCTGTCGATGTGATTCAACAACGCGTTGAAGATCTATGTACAAGGGAGTGTTAGTTTTGTCAACATTGACGCAATACCTTGGTGAATCGCCCGTCCAATTCGACAAACGGCTGCTTGAGCAGTTTCGTCACCACCTTGGACACAGTCTTAACCAGAGTTGGCCTTGCATGCAACAGCGGCACCATCACATTCAAGAGTGCCACGCACAAATCCCCCGTCAGGTACGGAGCCAGCATATGGATAACGCCCAAAAACACTTCGACCAACGCTACTCGGTCGTCCAGAATTCGCTCCTTGGACTGGCGGTACAAGAACAGCGACTCGTTGTCGCTTAAGTCAAACGCGGCCACCGTCGTCAAATAGTACCGCCACTCGGCGGCCAGGATGTCGTTGGTCGGGACTACAAACAAGTTCTTGGCCAGGGAGTCTTCAATGTACGCAACGATGCGGTTTGGCACGTCGGCAAGGCGGAGAAACAAGATTTTGGACTTGGTGGATTCCGAGATCCACTGGTTGATCTTCTGCGCAGCCAGTTGCAGGCCATTCGCAGACAACGCCTTGGATTTCTTCCGCTTTCCATCTGCGCCGTCGGTTTTGGTCTTGACTTCCACAAAACCGTGCACGATGTGCGCCCCTTCGTTGAAAATGGCGTTCGCGTCCGCGAATACTTTGAGCATGGGGCTGTGGTCGGACTTCTTCAGAGCCGAGCACAACAGTTTGTCGTGTTGGAGCCACGAAAACGAATGGTCTGGCAGGAGCTCAGACAGGTTCAAAAATGCTTCTTGGGCCACGATTTTGTCGTCGTGGTTGAGAAGCCGTGAGAGGAAGTGTACGATGGGTTGCTTGAGCTCGGGTTTCAACCCTTTTTGAGGCTTGGCCACGACAGAAAACCGCGTCAGTTTGCGTGCAATACCAAGCAAGCGGCGTAAACATGCATTCACCTGGAAAATAAGTTAGAAATAGAAACGCAACAATCTCGACTCACTGAAGTCGTTCCAGAAGTGCTTCGACAGTGTAGGTTGAACGGATCTGCCTCCAGGTGTCGGACAGTTTCAAACTTGAGGTCGTCGTCGTCCCAGGCCATGCCAACGGCGTACAGCATTTCAATGGCTTGGACGCATCGCCCCTTTTCCGACGTGTACCATCCCACGTTGATCAACGTTTCCATGGCAATGAGGAGGCGCTCGATAAAGCCAAAGGTCGCCGACTTGTCTTGCTTTGTTGGCGGCACCAGCTTGGCTTGAATCAATCCGTCGAGGCGTTTCAGCTGGAACGGGGTCAAGTGGGCTTGTGGGTCGCGGATGCCCAGGAAGAGCATCGTCAGTTGCACGCTTTCAGGAACCCCGTACGTAGGTACGTACAACAGCTGGAACAGTTCCAGGTACAACGACTGGATGGGACACGACAATGCGTCGCTGCATGCACCATCCATGAGCAGGTCGGGGGGGAAGTGTCCATGGAAGCGAGGCCGCACGTCGGCGTTGTTCTTGCAGAGTGCCGCCACGAGTTTGAGATGGTGCAGATACGAGATCATCCAGCTGTCCATTGCCATATGCGCTGGAGTTCCACGCGCCTTGTCTAGGGCCGACACAATATCCCGAAGCGGCATTGCAATGTGTTCCTCTTCAAACACAGTGCGCAACGTCCCCACTTCTTGGACGCGCCATCGGTTGAGTGAAGTTGGCGATTCGATCCTGCCGCTGCAGCAGTCGTTCCACCGCACCCACACGTCGCCATCTTGGACAAACGTGTACACGGACATAGTATCCCAGTTCTGGAGCCACATGTGTGCAATCGCGATCTCGTGGTTGTACAACTTGTACGAGATGAGCGGATCACGACGGCTTGCGTAGCTCAAAGCGATCAAAAACTGCGCCTTGTTAGTCCAGCTCAGCGTGTCCAGCTGGTCGTCCGTGTTGATGGCTTCGAGGAGGTACGCCACCGTCCTTGTGTTTTTCCCGATCATGCTCGTCAAAATCGTCCGCGCGTCGACGAATTTGGACGCGTATTGGATATCCAAGCCCGACAAAATCTTGATTTTACCAATCGGGTGCTCGAACTGCTCCACCAGATACGCTTCGAACGAGTCGTTGCCCACCACCATGACGCGCATCGCCTTGAAAAAGTGGGCCTGTCGAACCGATATTTAGCCGATGCATCTGGACGTACACGATGTATGACGCACGTACCAAGACTTCGTCCACCATGCCGCGAAATGCAGGAGCCATGGATCGGAACACTGACGTCGTGAGGAACATGGCGTCGAGAAACACGATTTCAGAGCAAATGCGTTGCAAGCATTCGGCCACACCGCCAACGAAGGGATTTTCCATCAAGTCGCAGATCTGCTTGCTCGCAACTAGAGCCCCTTGGATGCTTTGTCGTACAGTCTAATTGAAACAGCATGAATTGCGTAAACCAGAGCAGGTAGGTACCTACCTCGTCGGGGGTTCCGATATTCATGGCGTGTTGGACGACGGTTAAATATGCCTCGCGCCACGAGCACACGTGAAATACCTTCTGGACGACAGCAGGATCCACGAGTTCACAGACAAACCACGTATCAGAGTGGTTCCAAACGATCTACAGGGACAGATGAGATTCACACGATAGTATTGGACCTAAACAAGGTACCTACCTGGTTCTCTTGGGTGCTGAGGCACCACTTGTTGCCACAAGTCAAACACGTATGGGACACTTGGTACAGGGACCCGGCCATGTCGGTTTCAAGGGGGTCGCCAAGATGGGGGTGGTTTGGCAAGGACTTGGCTTTAGATTCCAATTTCAATTTCGCCACGAGGTTGCTCGTGGTCGCAGAATTCACCAACGTCGCATTGAGTTGTTCCTTCTTCGAGCATGGACAGTCAATACCCAGCACAAAGCGCGACACGACGTGGCGGATTTCGTACGAGCTTCCGTCCGGTGTCTTTTGAAGCTCAAACGCTGCCAACGCGTCCACCCTTTCCACCTTCAACGCCAACGACGCAGAGTTGGACAGCGGGAATTGGCGCAACCCGTCGCCACAAACGTAGCTCGATCCAGTCATGAGGGTGAACGGGTGGTGCAGGAACCGATCGTAGGTGCAATGGAGGGCCACACACAGCTCGGCGTTGCTTCGATCGTCGACCAAGTGCACCGGTTTGGGCTTGCGATTTCCCTTGTATAGTTTTGGAATACACGCGCTGACAAGCACCAAATGCATGGACGTCAAAACGTCCTGTCCAGTCACCGGCGAAAATTGAAGCCACGAGTAGCTCGACGCCAGATGATCCAACGAGGCCTAAGTTCAGGTGAGTACAAGTAGGGTGTTGATGGTTGTGGTGACATTACATTTGCCTTGCGCTCCCCCGCCATGGGATTTACGCGCAAGTACTTTTGCGACTTGACGTGGAAGAGTTGGAAGATGGTGTCGACGACAACCACGTCTTTCGTACGCAGCATTTGCGACAACTTGGCCACGTTTCGCTTCTTTTCGCTACAAACCATCAACTATGACGTCTATCGTGTCAACCACGCGAGAATCTCACCGTTCATGCTCTGAATACCGGTCCGTGACTTCGAAATACGGGTGGCAGGTCGACGTCATGTCGACGTGGTCGTACGCCAATTGAGGGTGAATGCAAAACACCCCGTCGTCCCATTCGCTGTTGACTTCCGTGGGTTGCAAGAATGTTTGAACAAAGCCATCGCATCCCAACACTTGGTCGTCGCCGAGGTTGAGCGTCACATAGTCGCCAATGTGCAACAGGTCCAACGACGACGACGACGTTTGCTGGTCCTTCAACGGGGCCACCAAGTTGGTTGCCGAGCTGCTGTTGACGCTCGCTTGGTACTTTGCATACAGCATCTTCCCGAACTGGATGTCTTTGTAAATTGCCAAAGAAATGGCAGTGTAACCGCTCTACAGACCGCATATGAGAACACTACACGAATAATAAATCGAAACCCCGTACGTTGTTTTGAGCCTGCAGGTTCGCGCCAGCTTTTAGCAACACTTCTGTCGCCGAATGGTCCAAATTCACCACGGCTTTCATCAGAGCTGTGCTTCCTTCCTAATACAAAGCTTGAGTACATTTTAAATAGGTCAGATGTACTTGCCTTGTCCGTAGCGTCGGTCGCGGCATTCATTGTTAACAGCAGCTTCATCATTTGGTCGTTCTTGTGCATGGTGGCAACAATAAGGGGTGTGTGGCCGTCCTACAAAAAAAATCCAGTTCAAGACAGGGGAATCTATCTCTACGTGATGCAGTACCTTGTTGGAGGCCTCGATGTTCGCCCCTGCGTTAACGAGGTATTCGACAACGCTGAACTTGGACGAAATCACAGCCGTGATGAGCACCGTTTCGGCAGAATACTCGTCCTATGTACAACGGTATACATAGCGAGTACTAAAGAATCATGAATGTACTACCGTGCATGCATTCTCAATATCCGAGTGTGCTTCGACGAGGCACTTGACGACGTCGACGTCTGCGTCGCCACTCACGGCCAAGTGCAGGGCGGTCATGCCAATCTATCTTATCGTAACAAATGCCGCGTCGAAGTGTATGTAGTATGTATGCGTCGAACCTGATTGCGATTTGAAACATCGGCGTTACGCAAGAGTAACTCTTGCACAATGTCCACGTAGCCACAACTCGCCGCCAACATCAACGGCGTTTGCTTTTCCTAGTTCTCCATCAATATTATACACACCCGAGCACGATATATATATATATATATATATATGGCATACGTGGTTTTCAGCGTTGAGATCGACGTCTCGCAACGCCAAAATCGTTTTCACAGCGTCGATGTTTCCGGATTCGCACACTTTGTGCAACACGGTGTCGCCGTCCTAATCAAGGGATGAACATCACGTCAAAGGAAGGGCAGACTACAATTGTTTTGGCATGGACGTCGCATCCTGCGTTCAACAATATGCGAATGCTTCGCTCGTGTCCTTTCCCGGCAGCATAATGGAGAGCCGAATGCAATTTCTACATGATTGTACAAGGACGATGAGTGCAAATGACGTAAACATCGACTATCTACCTCGTCGACCAAGTTGGGATCGCATTTCGCGTCGAGAAGCAACTGCAGGGTGGTTTCGTCCCCCGAGTACATACTTGCTTGGATAAGGGCCGTCCGCTTTTCCTACACGTACGGGCAGTGATGCCCACCATCTGCTTGTGCTATGGTCGATCGAATGTACTTTGTTGAGGCAGTTCATGTTGGGCTTTGGTTTGTGTTGCAATAGCTTCTGGAGGATTCGTGTACTTTCCGCTCGCATCTTTTTTGCCTTCGACTAATGCAGTGTGAATCGATCTATCATGTTGTGGTTGATGTACAACGTACTTGAACAATACTCGTATCATCGCTCGCATCCACTGCATAAACTGTGGAGCTCTACGTTGCGTTAACGACATGTGAAGTTTGGTGCAACAATACTCACTTTGAGCTCTCCACGCGCAGCCACCATCAATGCCGTGTCTCCCTATATGACAATCGCCATTTTATATTACTTGTCACCACGAAGAGCAATATACATACGTCTTCGTCGGCCGCATTCACGTCAAACTTCAGCTCCAAGAACCAATGAACAATTGATGCGTCCCGTCCCGCGGCTTCAACAAACGAGCGAGCGAGCGCTGGTTTTACGTCCTAGACATGTCTAAGCAGAAGCATTCGATGTCGTTAAGCCTACCACGTCGTGAATATCAATTGGACCAAGAAGACGTTTGACATCGTCGAGATTGCGCGCCACGACCGCTGCAAAGAGTTTCTACGTCACGTGGATGAGCAAGAGTTAGAACATCGTCGGGTGGCGCCTACCGTATCAAAGGATTGATCGTCCATCCTCTGCACTTCAGTGAGAACACCCTACTTGCATATGGATTGGATTACTTCCGAGTCCGCTTCATCCTGCGGCGGCGACCAATATGTACACGACGATCGTACCTAGACAACTTTTGAAATGACTGCCTCAATCAACAAAACTGGGGAAATGCCGATTTGATTTGAAATCATCCAATCAAATCCCTGGATTTTACCGATCGGGTATCTTGGCTCGGGTGAATTAGGCTATCACCATTTTATTTGAATTATGAACAAAATGTTTCACCAATTTCACAGGAATACTCCGTCAAATCTCGCGCAATATCTCACCATCCCTTGAAAAAGATCAAATGTATGGCAAAACAAGGTGATCTCGAGATTAGGCTCAAAGTCACTTCGCGGTCGTGGAAAGTACGTACTACAGTATTGATCGCTCGCCGCTCCTCCATCGACGTCAAAGGCCGTTGACTCATGGACATCGCACCAGATCGTAGGTTGACAGTGCATATGTCTGCCATGGACGCAGATGACTTCGAGAAGGTACGTACAGGCGGACAGTCGACGGCATATTCATTGCTAGACGTAGATGCTCGCCACAGCGATCGACCGCCGTGATGCGAAGCAGGTGGAGGCTCTGTTGAGTCAAGCGAATGTAAATGCCGAGGTAAACGTGCTCGCCCAAACGATTCTCCTTGTCACCTGCCACGAGGCATTGCAGGTTTTCCACGGTCCAGTTCTCGTGCGCAGTTTCGTCGCCGCCGCGTGCAGCGACACCTCGATCTTTCATCTGTTGGTGCAGGCAAATTTCAACGTCAATGCTGTCGACGATGTACGTGACTATTGCTTGGATACGTCGCGACAACTTACTTTCACACAGGATGGAGACACGGCGTTGATGGTTGCCGCCCGGGGCATCGACTCGGTATATTTGTGTCAAAACTACAATATATATTCACTTTATATATCATTCTTCATCATGAGTGTAGAAATTATACACGGACGAAGACATACCAGTACGACAATGCCTTCTACCTTCAAATCGAAGAGTGATCTCCATGCATTATATAGGTTGGCGCTGCATTTAGCCAAGACTGCGCGACGAACGTGAGGTTGCTATTGGAAGCCAAAGCAGACGTAAACGTCATCAACAAGGTGAAGTGCACTTCGAAGCGGTGGCCATAACTGACGCGGCATCGTAGAGCGGGGAAACGGCCTTGTTCCAGGCCGTGAATTACGGCGGCGATCAAGCCATCGTCATGGTCAAGATGTTGCTGGAAGGGGACTTGTGCCACGTGGACGTTCAAGACGAAGTTTGTGCTGCATGTTCTTGATTCGTGAGTTCACACTCTATTTGTAGGACGGTTTGACTCCGTTGCATGTTGCCGTGAAACGGGGGCAGGCGGACATTGTGGCCCTGCTGATAAATCGCAAAAGCAACGTCCATGCCAAGACCAGCGTACGTTGCATGCTTTATTCTTTTACGTTTTCAACCGATTCAACTCGACCTGACACTATTTATGACGGATTTATAGGAAGGCAAGTCGCCGTTGCACTTGGCATGCCAGTACGGTCACTTTGCCGTCGTGGAGATTCTCGTCAAGTACCAGCCCGTGCTGAACGAACTGACTGAAGTACGTCAACACAAGGAGAATGTGTGTCGATTTCGCTGGTGTATGCTCAACTCTGTAGGACCGCCAAACACCACTCATTTTGGCTGCGTCGTGTGGATCGATGGCGATTGTCCGCTTGCTATTGGACCTTCAAGTGGACGTTACCATCAAGGACAAGGTGAAACCACACATTTACATTGTTCTTTTACCCAAAATTTGGACTTGAGTGTCACACTACTTTCAGTCACACACTAATTCGGTGTTGAATTGGTCGAAGAGTGAATTTGATTTTGGCCACTTGATTCGTGTTCTGGGTTTGGATTGGTCCATCTTCGATTGTCTGGCGATTCGTGATTCTGCTCATACAACCCTACTCCAAATTCGAATCGACTTGACAATATATACTGATATCATGAATCGTGATACGCAAATATATATAAATATATATATATACTGATATTAATATCATGACTAATGGAATGTAGAGTGGCATGACCGCGCTGCACCAGGCAGTGTACAATGGCGTCGAGTTGGCCGTGGTCGAGGCGCTGGTGGAAGCCAAGTCAGACATTGAAAACATTTGTTCGGTACGACAAATAAGCCCTCGTTTGAACATATCTGACGGTCTTACCTCGTAGGACGTGTATTCGGCAGACCCGATCATCAACGACGCCGTCGCGCAATCGGACCTGAATGTCGTCGAGTATTTACTGGAGCAGGGCGTGAATATTGAAGTGACCAACAATGTACGTGAATACTGGTCATATACGAGACTTATGTGGTTCGATTTACCAGGAGGGCTACACGCCTCTGATTGTGGCGACCCAGTTCAAACGGCACGACGTGATGGCCTTGCTGTTGGAGAAAAACGCAAAGCTCGAGGCTGCGGACAAGGTACTATCAAACTATATATATATATCGTTTGATCGATGCGTGTAGAACGGGTGCACTGCGTTGATGGAGTCCATTTTGAAAAGAGACCACATAGGAACGGACTTGCTCGTGCTTCATGGCGCGAGCTTGCATTCTCGCAACAAGGTATATATATCTGAAAGAATCCCTTCCAAACTACCTACCATACGTATAGAATGGGTTTTCGGCGATTTCGCTGGCCATGTACCACGACATTGAGCTCGGCAAGCGACTGTATTCGATGCATCAAAAGAAACTGCAGTCGCCTGCCAAGACCCCGTCCACCACCACCACTGTCATGGCCATGCAAAAGCAGCTCTCGTCCGACGTCGGTCGGTCGTTGCGCGTAGGAGATCTCATCTACTTGCACGTTGAGAACGGCATGGTTTTGGGCTGCGACGGGTTCCTCCACACTGACCTGCACCTGACGTTTCCCACCCACGAATGGGAAGACTACATTTTCTGCATCCACCCCAAGATGTCGTACGACTATGTCGACTTGTCTCTGGGGGTCCATCCATACTTTGAAACGACCGACGCGTTTTCCGAAGAAGAAAGGTATGATGACATACATGCCCATGGTTAAATGTATTTTGCTTGTATTGTGCTTTCGAGTGAAATTTCATTGTGTTGTGGCGTGGTTTCTCGTTGAAATTTAAATCGATTTGATTGGCTACTTCAGATTAGCTCAAAATTATTAACCAATCAAAAACTTCTAAATGAAATTCAACAACCAATCAGATCGATTGTGAATCAGTTTGGTCGGCGCGATTCGATTGCACCCTCCCAAAATTTGTATCAAATCGACAATAGCTCCAACATTGTTTTGTGTTTAGGGAAAAGCGGCGCAACGACGAGAAATTGACGCTCGCACTGCAGACAAAGGACCTTGTTCGCGAATACTCGACCATCCAGCTGTTTCATGTCAAGTCGCAGCAGTATTTGCGCGTGAATCCGATGGCCTCGACCACGCATGCCAACGTACGTACATCTAGTACATGCATGTACTAGATGACACGTTGAGATTCTATTGGGTTCGTTTTAGGTGGAGTTGGATCACTTGCCGTCGTGCTACTCGTGGTTTCAATTCCACGCGGACAAACCCAGCTCGGACTTGGGCATCATGACCAACTCGCCCGTGACCCTGGCCAGTGCCAGCGTGTTTTCGGCCGCGCAAGCGGTGCGCAAGTCCAAGCCGGTGACGCTCTTGGCCAACCACAGCAGTACGACCAAGGTGCTGTTGGGGCTATATACATCCCACGACCCGTTGGTGCTTCGCCCGTTCGTGTGGAAGAATGGAGAGTACGCAATTTCCGGCACTGGTACCCGTCAACTGCCCCTTCCGCGGTCGTACAGTTTGAATTTCAAGCCCCAAGTGTCCAAGGTGAATTCCGTGTTTCACCTTGAAATGAGCAGCAAGTCGTCGGCGGGTGGCGTGTTGTATCAACTGCGCCATGTGTCGTCGCGGTTCTTGCTGGCCATGCAATGCCCATGTGCCAAGCGCGACCACGTTACTGCGTCTCTTGTGAACCCCGAGTCCCTCGACACTTGGATCGCGCACTTGAAAGTAGCGTACCACAACAACACTGTGCGCTCCGACCTTGCCCACCACGACGACGACCATCGCGAATATGCGTTTCACTTTTCACATACATGCCCCAAATGTTCGAGAGAATGGTGCCTCGGCACGACCCAGAACAAGGTACATACTGGCACTGGGGGATCATCACTCATGTACTGTACCTTGTCGCAGATGGTGTGGAACCAGTCGGGCGAGTGGCTCGTGGGGGTACCGATTTCCACCGACTTTACGAAAAAAGTGCACCACGTGTGTGCTTGGAGGGAGGCGTTCTTGACGTTTTCGCACACGGCGCTGTGCTTCTTGGACGACACCACGACAACCGAGGTACTACATTGTTGGTTGGAACTTCAAAGCAATAATATATATTGTGCATTTCACGCAAAGTTGGACCAGTTTGATCTCATTTAACTGTAAGCTTGTACAAAGTATGCGATACAAGCATTAGTATAGATGAGGTTTTGGCAGTTCATTCCGAATCGATTTGACAATATATCTTGGACGTAGAACATCATCCCCCAGAGCATCCATGCCGTGTTGGTGGCCAGCCAGCAAATCCATTCGCTCATGGAAACGCCCGAGGTTGACGAAGTGGTCAGCTTTTTGCAGCAGATTTGCGCCGACGTGGAAATCCTTGAGGCCATGTTCCTCGCCACGTCCATCTTTCGGTCCATGGCGTCGATCGAAGGAGTGGACGAGTTGATGGTTCGTAGCTAGTAGCTAGCTACTACGACTTGTTACATGCTACTAGAAATCATCACACATGTATTCGTGGGTGTTTTGGTGGTAGGTCACGTTCTTTCGTGCGATGCGGGTGCTGGTCGTGGGCAACGACTCGAGTGAGATTTATCTCCAAGAGCAATTTGGCGACCGCCTGGGCCAAATCAAGATTTTAACCGGGTTGGACATGGAGTTTGCGACGAAGTACGTCGATGCGCGCATCATTATGACCAACATGATTGCGAAAAACTCGGGGGCCGTGTCGCACCTCCTCGAAAACATCAACGCCAGCCACATTGTGCCTGGGAACTGGACCATCACCGCTCAATTCTTCATCGCGCTGAGCTTGTCCGAACGTCCTGACTCGCTGATTGCAAAGAAACTGTACGACCATGAAATGAACGTGTCTGAAACGTGGGTCTCCAAGTGGGAAACCTGTGCTATCCACACACGCTTGGACGGTGACAGCATTTGCGTGCGCTGGTGTGACACAAATGAAGACGGGAGTGCCATCCCCGGCATGCTCCACCGAAGCGCGACGATCGCAGCGTTCAAGTCCCAAGTCAAGATAGAACCGAGGCACGTGACCGTCCCCCTTGAGCTCCTTGTGGACGAATCTTCCAAACCGACGCTGCCGCCGCTCGTCGACGAATGGATTGCCTTGTACATACACCAGTTGAAGCTCGTGTCGGCTCTGTGTGAAAAGAACGTCAACGTGCGCCGGTTTTTCCAGCCCAAGTTCCCCAAACACGTGTTGGTTGCTGGCATTCGCCGCGAGTCGCTGCCGTTCGCCATCCGGACGCTATATGTGGAACTGCTGCACTACTTGTACGTACCCCCCACGGGCATGCTGGACAACATCCAGCTGTCCAACTTGTTTCTGGCCTTGAACATCCACGGCGCGAACCCCCTTTCGAGTCACATGCCGGCGCTGTACATCTTGATCGACGCAACCATCCACGCCGTGGTCGTCAACAACGTGTCGTACTTTGTGTTTCTGCGCAAACTGCTGAGCTTCGTCGATAGTTTGCTCAGCGTTGGCTACTGCGGCACCAACCCGGCGTACTACAAGCAACTGTTTGAAGCGTTGTACGTCACGGGCATGAAGTGCGACGCGGTGGTGAAATTTGATTCCAACGGTGACCGGTCGACGTTGGATCCGCTGAATTTGTCCTGCAACACGACCTACGGCGTGGCCAATGTACGTTGTTCACACACTATTTACGCGCATCACACTATATCCGTACATCACACTATTTCCGTGTATTTATCACCATGGATTATTGAACTCGTCTCTTTTGATAGGTGGTACTGTGTCAGCGACGACTGGTGGCGTTGATTCGCAAGGTGATTCGATGCTGTGTAGCGACCACAGCCCCCGGTGACCCACCCGTCGAGTTTAGCCACGGACTGGTCCAGTACTTGTCCAACTTGCTCGGTCATAACGATACGCTGGTGGCGCAGGAAGCGTTTGTCACGTTGTCTGAAATCCTCCCGCGCGCGTCGTTTGCGTGGCTTCGAGCGGTGAAACCCATGTGCGAACTGGTCAAGCCCGACGACCACAACGACAGCCTTCGCCAGATCATCCACGAAGCCCAAGCCGTGTTTGACTTGGATGCTCATACATTTCACAGCCACGTGCAGCGTCTGCACACCAAGATCCTCGACGAAGGGCGCAAGAAGAAGAGCAAGGCATCGACCGACCCGCTCCAAGTTTCGATTCACCGCGTCAAGAAATGGAAGCGCAACGTCGCGTCCAACAACCCGACGCTGCTGCGGATGCTGCGTATTGCTCAAATCCCCGAGCGCACGATCGCGTACCTGGAAGCCGCGCTGGCCCGCGGCGTGTTTGTCGTGCCATCGAACGACGACCTAGCGTTGGAGCTCGAGTACTACAAGACGGTCGTGTTCAAGTCGACTGCGATCGACAACAACGCGACCAAGGGCAACTCGCACTTTCGGATGGCCAAGGAAGAAGCGGTGAAAGATCGCGCGACGCTGGCGCACCATCTTTTGTCGCTGCTGCATCAGTTTACCCCCCACCTGTCGGAAGAATTCAGCTTGAGGCTGTTGGTGCTGGTCGTGCCGCTGGTGAACGACAACTTTGCCCTTGTCAAGGACGTGTCGTCGTTGGTGTACTCGATGCTGTGCCAGCCCAATGCGGTCGTGGACTCTCGATACGCTGATGTAAACACCGATGTTTCTTCAGTCACCAATGGATGGTGGAGGCATTATGACCTGTGTTGTAGGTTTTTAAAGCGTTGCTAAAGCACGTGCATTACAACGAGTCGGCGGGCCAATGCGTTCTGCACATGCTTCGCGAATCGCAATCGGACGAGTGGAAGAATCAAGCCAGCTATCAATTGTTCTACTCGGAGTTTGACCTCAAGACGCTGCTGGTCGCGTACCCCAAGCAAGTGTTTGTGCTCGACATATTGTGCCTCGTGGCCGATGGCTCCACGAACGAGCGCATCTATGGCCATCTTGAATGCAAGTCGCTGTTGTCCCTGGAGTGGATTGTCCAGTTGATTACCCACGCCCAAGCCACGCCCAGCCACAAACGCGTGGGGCTGGCACTCATTAAAACCCTGTACTTGGACAGCGACCTAGAAACTGGATGGGTCTCGACGCACTTGGACACGTTGCGCCCTGCGTTTGCCTTTTGCCGCCAAGCGCTGTCCATGGTTGGGTCCCACATGGATGTAGTCGTGGACGGCGTGGTGCCGTTTCTGAAAGCATGGGTGGCCATGGTGACGGTTCAGTCCAAGAACCCCGTGGTCGTCGAGTTTCACCACCAACTTGAAGGCGACATGAAGGCCATGATAAGCCACCTCGACCAACTCACGTCCCAGCATCCGTTTATGTGTGCACATGCAAAGTACCCGCTGTCCCATGTCGTGGAAACGTTGTCGCAGTTGACCATGTGCACCACCATGGCGCTGATTGGAAACACCCGCAACGACATGGCGGTGGCGTACGCGGTCGAGCTGAAGAAAGCGCCGCCCCAGCGCATCTGCTACCACCCGTTTGTCCGAGGCGCTCGGGCTTTACTTGTAAACCACGCAGCCAAGTTGATGGTGCAAGATCCGAATCAGTTGAGTTCTGCGCTCGTTATCGGCGCGTTCCAACGCTTGCAGGCGACGTCCATCCCCGACGCGACGCTGCTCGACTTGGCCATCGTCGGCAAACACTTGATCCAGGTGGACCTGCAGGCCTCGCAATGGGACCAAGATTTGATCTCGCTGATTCTGGCTGAACAAGACGGGTTATCCAGCAGTGGCAATAAGAAAGCCAACCATTTTAACAAGTGGGCCAAGGTGACCCCTCAGCTGCACCGATTGAAAGCGGCACTGGCGTTCCGCCCAGCCAAAGCCGCCCGTGATAAGACGTTCCGGGGCAAATCGTACCAGTCGTTGGACGTGCAATCGTTTGTCGACCCAGTGTTCGTGGCGGACCACGTCAACAAGGACTCGAGCGTTGATACGTTTGCACACTGGAAGAAGAGCTTTGAGCCGCTGGATCTGCAGACGTTGATGCAGTGCTTGGTGCGGCTCATCACGCGGTCGTCGTCGTCGTCGCTGCTCGGTCTTCGCGTGTTCGTCCAAGCGCTCACGTCCAAGCGCGAGGCGGCTGAAGACCGGGTTGAATATGACGAAAAGGCTCTGCTACAGGCGCGGGTGGAGTGGAAGGCGTTGCTGTCCACGGCCGTCAAGTCGGACGTGACATCGCTCGTGTTTTGGTGCATCAAGGAGAGCATGGAGGAAGTGTCCAACCCGGTGAAAAGTCGGCTGGCGCTCAACTTGATCAGCGAGTTGCTCGTCGACGGGTTCAAAGAAGCGCAGGACGCGCTGTATGCTGGGTACGTTGGCCTCGACGACCACTTCCGGTCGTACTTGTTTGGGTTCCTCATGTCGCACATCACCGGCCAGTCCCACGATGCGAGTATCGTGTCGCTGACGCTGTTCCAGCTGCTGTGTGAAGGCCACCACACCAACTGGCAAAACATCATGCGCAGCGGCAAGTTCAACCGCAGCGTCCTGGACACAGTGATCAACCTCATGGCGCGCATCTGCAAGCAGTCGGACAACGTGTTTGCGTTGAAAGACGTGCAAGTCATGTCCAAAGTGCTCGCGTTTCTGAGCGAGGCCTGCCAGGGCCCATGCCTCGAGAACCAGCAGTTCATTGCCGAGTCGGTCGTGCCGCGCCTGTGCACGGACATCTCACTGGGCAAACCGCAGTGCGAAAACGGCCAATACCCGCTACACCTGGCCAAGCTGAAGCACAATGTGAACGTGCTGCTTTTGTCCATGGTTGAAGGCCGCGACGACACGCTTGTCCACTTGCACTATGTGGAATTGATCCGTCCTCAGGACATGTGTCGGGTGCTGACTGTGAATCGGAAAAAGATCAAGGTGGGGACAAAGTCGCCTGTGTTTTCATATATATTTTTATTGTTATCGATATCGCTTGTTTACATTCGAGTATTTGAGTATAAATGTGAATTCGTATTTCCAGACCCCGTCGATTCGAATATGTCGCTGCCGAATCGAAGCACGAATCGACGCTTATTGGTGAATAATCCAAGTTTGAGTGGATTTGATTGGTTCTTACAGAATGGACAAGTATATTCAACCAATCCGATCTCCAGCGTGATTCAACATTACTTCAAACCACGGGAAGTTTATAGCGAATTCACAATATATTCGTGCTGTGTTTTGGATGTTCTGTAGCAGTACCGAAGCAATAATCCCCCCTGTTTTGACAACATGCATAGGACTACCGGGCAGACTACAAGTACGAGTTGGCCGACATTGTGTTTGCCGAGTCGATTGAACTGCTCCGGTTGGCGTACTCGTTGCTGTCCAAAGCGACCAGTCACACCGTGGACAACCTCTTCTACTTTAGCAAGGGCTGGCATGACGCCCAGAACGAACACGTGGCCTTCTTCGCCAAGCAAACAATCAACGTCGAAGTCGTCCGCGGCGACACGGAGATCCAAGTGTACTTTCCACGGCCCCGCGAGTCGCGGTTCCTCAGTCCTCGGGAGCAGAAGCGGCTCATGGACATCATGGAGTTTGGCGAGGATAATGCATTGGCAGCGTTCACCTCCCCCGAGTCCAGGTACATGTCGACAGCCATGCTGGTCATCACAATGGTAGTTATATATATATGCGTGAGCAGGAACATTGCCGAAGAGCTGCGCACGCGGCACATCCTTGCCCAGAATGCTACGTACGAGTGGATGACCGAAAACCAAACGTTCATTCGGCAAGCCATGTTTGTCGTGTGCTTTTACATCAACTTTGTCATGGTGTTGGGGCTCGCGATCGACCCGGACGACTCGGAGCCTGTCGTGCACATTTACGTACGTAGTAACCCCTCGATGTGTTTGATGTCTTTTTAATATAGTATGTTTATAGTCATATTGGACGCTGTCGGGTCTGGGTGGGGTGTTTTGCATCCTCTGCAGCAGCTTGTGGCTGTACAACATTGCCACGGAAATGTCCTTCTCGTATGCCCGCCAAAAGCTCAAACCAGTCAAGCTGCGTAGAATGACCCTCCAGGACATGACAAGTGAAGTGTGGAGTGCGATTGCCGAATCATGCTACGCGATTGGTATGTTCCGTTCATGTCGATGGATCATAGATGGATGGTGCTTGAATGGGTCGTCGTCTTGTGTGTAGGTGGGTGGGTGGCAGTGTACGCAGCCATCACGATGGTGTACGGGATGGACGACTCGCTCACGTACATCACCGCGGGCGTGTCGCTAGCGTATGTGCTGTACATTGTACTGCTCGCGATTCGCAAAGTGTCTGGAATTTTCCACTTTGCGTACATCACCGACGACAAAGTGCGCAACCGCCAAGTGGCGATTTCGAACGTCCTGTTCTGGTTCAATGCGGTCGTGGACACGTTGATCAAGGACAACGTCGTCGTGTTCACGCTGTACACGCTGTGCGCGTTCATGGGGCTGTCCAGCGACGTGTCCAAGAGGGCGTATGTGTACTATGGGTTTCCCTTGCTCGACATTTTAGCCATCAATGGCCGCCTATCTAATATTGTACGTCCACTTTCGACTATTTTCACAAGAATTCATGTTGCAGATATTGTGGATTATTCGGTACAGATTTCCAGGCCCCACCGAATCGAATCACGAATCATTGACGCTATTGGCTAATCCAATTTTGAGTGGATTTGATTGGCTCTTACAGAAAGGACAAGTATATTCAACCAATCAGACCTTGAGAGTGATTCAATATTGATTAGACAAATCGCGCGAATTTTGGACGTTTATAGCGAATTCACAATCCTTCCTATTAGTATTTTTTTTAATTTTAAAGAGTCCTCACTTGATTTTAAAGTATTGAATTCCAAAGGAGATTCGATGTTCATTACAGAAACAACGTTATCTTTAAAAAATATATTCTAGTATATTATAAATATTGAATTTTATACTAGTATATTATAAATATTGAATTTTATACTAGTATATTATAAATATTGAATTTATTCGTAATTTCTATACTATATAATTCTTAACAACGACTAAACTGCGTAGCTCAAAGCTGTCACGTCCAACTTGGTGCCGTTGGGGGTGACCATGGCATTTGGGACGATTGTGATCTACTTGTTTTCGTTGATCGGGTTCTTCCGGTTCCAGGAGCTCATGACCAACGACGACGGGCCCCAGTGCTCGTCCATGATGCAGTGCTACCTCACGTACATTCACTACGGGCTCTTGAGTGGCGGCGGCATTGGCGACTACATGTCGAGTACGTTGGCGCATCCATTGGATTACTCGGACCAAGTGAGCTTCTTCGAGCGCGTCGTGTACGACTTGGGGTTTTACATTGTCATTCTGCTGCTGCTGATCAACCTCATCATGGGTATCATCATCGATTCATTCACGTCGCTGCGTGAAGCGTCCGAGAAGAAGCAGGAGATCGAAAACAGCATCTGCCTCGTGTGCAACGACACCAAGGACGACATCGAGTACCGCGGCATCCTCCTCGGTCTGTCCAACAGCTTCAAGAAACACAAGGAAGAAGAGCACAACCTGTGGAACTACTTGTTCTTCATCATGTACTTGGAGTCCAAACCCGCCACCGACCTCAACGGTACCGAATCATTTGTGCGCCAGAAGCTCCTGGCCAAGGAGATGTCGTGGATTCCCAAGAAAAAGGGCAACTCGGTGCGGGCGGCCGCGGAGGCGTACTAAATACCTTATGGATCTGTACCCCCGAAAATGTCAGTAAAATCTGATCGAAATGGATACAACTCAATAAGGTGGTATGATTTCTTTTCAATAACGCGTTCGGATTGGTTACTTCTACTACTTCGACTTGTTTAATTGGCTAGAACGAGATAATTGGACAGTTTTGACCAATATAAAGCGACTTGGGTACAACCTTCCAAGGTACACCAAATTTCGTACTTTATTGCCACCATACAGCAATTTGGGTTCAACTCGATAAGGCAAAATCATGGGTACTGATCCCTAAGGTATACGGTAGTCGTCCTCGGATCACTACATCGTGAAACAAAATGTATATAAATGTCATGATGGCATGCACGATATACATAGTAATACATGACGCAAATGACACCTTGCATATGTTCGAGCTCTGTCATCGAATGCCAACACTTGGAATCACCACGAAAGACAAAGAGCCAAAATGATAAATATTAGTAGTATACTACGTAGTATTATTATTTTAATACTAATATTATTGGACATCCAAGCTCATCAAGAAAGAAGTCTAGGGAAACAACTGATATATTAATGACTTGATTATTATGGAGTGGCAGCCAAGGACTCGAAGAACTCGACCATGTCTTGACGTCCGACTTCATGTGCTAGCATCGCCGCCGTCTTGCCTTCCTATTATTGACATTCAAATTAGCCAGTAGCATCCACACACAATCGTGTTTACTCCGTTGACGGCATCTACCGCGGCCCCAGACTTGACCAAGTACGCCACCACTTCGAGCGACGAGCCGGTGACTGCATCGTGCAGGATGGTGTTGGCCATGTCATCCTATATGTATGTACGTACGTATCCGACAGTGACTCTTTCGATGGGCAACGGTAGACAGTACGTACCACGCATGTGTTATTGATATCCGACTTGGCGTCCACAAGACATGCGACGATATCTATGTTGGCGCCCGAGTACACTGCATGATGCAATGCTGTCATGCCAAACTACAACAGCCACGTGTAAACGACTCTAGAGACTGTGTGTGTGGTCATTTGTCGGACCGAATCCTTCATCGTCACGTCCGCGTGGGCTTGGATGAGACGCTGCACGATCTCGAGCGACTCAAAGATCACTGCTGTCATGAGCGGCGTCTGCAAATCCTATGAATGACCCAATGATGGATTCACATGTCCATGTATTCCATAGATTCCTCTCTTACCTCGTTGGCAGCATCTACGTGGAGGTGGGCCGACGACGCCATGACGAGGTTCACGACGTCCACATTCCCAGACGTGCATGCCAGGTACAGCACCGAGTCGCCATCCTGCACAAAGCAACACATGTCTCACATGTTTAACAACATCCACATGGTCTTACAGCTGTGGTAACTTGGAGGTCTTGGGGGTCGTGAACGGTCAGCAGCAGTCGGACGTTCTCCGCTTGACCACGCAAAGCGGCATGGTGCAGCGCCATGCATCCTTTCTACAATAGCAACATGCTAGTCATGTACTTTACACAACGGGTGGTTATTACGTCATCGATGGCTACGACATTGCACTTGGCTTGTACGAGCAAGCGAACGATGTCGGGTTGGCCACTGGCCGTCACAGCTTGAAGCAAGGCGGTGCTGCCAGTCTATGGATAGATCACCATGTTATGACGTGGCAACACGAGAGAGAGAGGATGCACACACGTGGTTGGCAGCATCCACGGCTGCACCATGAGCCAAGAGTTGCTCGACGTTGTGCAAGGACTCGATAAACTCAATCTGCAGGTCAGGCTACGTAGAACCAACGAGCCTCGAGTTAGACACGTTTGCATGCCCAGCCTAGGCGTCCAACGCACATGTTGTTGCCGTTCGCAGAGCGGGTCGCACTCGTCGCCTTCGTGGTCCGAGAACGAGTCAAAGACGTACTACATAGTATCAAGTAGATGAGTGCATGGAGGGATGGACAGGAGTGCGAACGGTATCTTCTCCTCGCGCCGCAACCATCAACGCCGTGTTGCCGTCCTACTTGAATAGCTGAGCTCGTTGCTTGGAAACGCAGACAAGCGTACCTCGTCTCGAGCATTCACGTCAAAGTTGGCGTCTAAGAACAGTTTGGCGATCGATGCATCTCGACCTGCAGCTTCGAGGAAGCCGCTGGTCAATGGCTGTTGCAAGTCCTGTGAAACATCATGCAAGTGAAGTGCTACACCACAAGCCAGTCGAACAACGTACTGGGCTGTGGATGTCGACTTGAGCCAGCATCGCCTGAACGGCGGCGTGATCTCTCTGGATCACGACTGTGTACAAGGCCTAGCACACATACGTCGTGAGGAACCACATGCAACGATGGCCATAAGAAGGCGAGGTTCCACGCAGCAGTACATCATCAAAGTCGTCAATCTCTGTGCTCGTCATAGTTGCCTTGGATGTCATGTGGCGAATTGGGTACTGTCAATCAGCCACGGAGCAGTGACACTGCGGCAGTCGTCACAAGTTTGTCCATTTGTGCAAGTAGACAAGAGCTCGCACGTAACAGGTGTAACGTTACAGTGTACTACTAGTAGTAGGGAATTGTCCTTTTACCCAAAATGTGGGCTTTTGTGCTGATTCGCCAAATCTATCGATCGATTCTTGTACTGAATTTTGTATGTGAAAAGGTGTCCTGTGGTGATTGGTGTCACACTAATTGAAGGCACACACTAATTCGACGTTGAGGATGGTTTCCTGCAATCTCATTGGCTAAATCCTTGTGCCGATATCTATTTTTGGTTCTGTCGATTTATGCCCCAGTTTACAGTGTTAGAATAAACACAATAAGCTTACCGGTACTACTAGTACTATGGTAATACTTGAAGTTGCCGAAAAGGCACACTTGAACCATCGCCATCATCGTGGAAGCTTGTGCAATGTGTACGACAAATAGTACTCGGTCAAGTGCGGTAGTAGATCGAAACCAGATCAACGAACTATCTGAGGTAAAACTGAAGCCCCTCAATTCGTACGCGTGTTGGCTTTATTACTGCCCTGTGTGGGTGCCAGTTACACGTTTATCGAATGGCGGTTTCACCATGCTAAATCCCGTGAACGTAATGCCAGCAACGGCATAACACACATGGGCAACATCACAGCAGCAGCAACAAGAGGAGCTGCGACACCCAAGCCAGCAACGTCAAAAGCTACAGCACCACCGACAGACAAACAACCCCAAGGAAAGATCCCGGTCGTGCCGCCGGACAAGCAACTTCTGTTCATCGAAGATCAAGTGGCCCAACGCGCCGAGTGGAATGCTGAGAGCGTGTTCGTGTATGTCAAGCGATTGTGTGGGGGGTTGCAGGAGTCCGAGGTACCGTACCACGCCCTTGGAGGAACCTGACGACTTTGTAGTCAGAAGGCCGAAAACGACGCCAAAAGGTCAAGTCGTTTGTGCCGGGCGTGCACAACACCTTCTCGTACGTGCGTTTCTCACTTGACCACCCCTTGCTCACTTTTGTGTGTGGGAATTGCCACCCTGTAGATTCAAACACAATCTAGATGACAGTAGCGCCAGTAGTCCACGAATGCAAGCGGCAGCCACAACCATCGTCGCATGGCTGCGTCGACACATGTACCGCATGCGATGGCGCCGTGCAGTGCTCCTCTTGGTACTTCGTCTCCGAGATGAGCAGCGATTACAAAGGGACGAGGCTGCGCTGGAGCATACGATATGCCGGTTCAGGGATATTCTCAAGGAAGGCTTCACCGCGTCCAAGGTGGCAGTGCACGGAAACCTCAAGACCATCCAGCTCCGTTTGGTTGTGGACACGACGTGTGACGAATGTTATTTAACGTGGACCCCGTCCAAGAAGCGTGATCCGAGAGTCATGCTACGTATGTCCTTACAATCCTGTTGGCGTCGAATCCAACGGTCCTTGTAGATGAGATCGAGTCCGTGGTGCCTGCTCGAAAGAACATGGAAGGAACCGTCATTCCCATCCACCTCTTGCGTAAAGTCAGCTACCGGCGCACGTTTATCTTGTCCATCCACACCAAGTCGATGATCAAGGGCGTGCCCGCCATCCCGAAGCGCATGATCCTGCAAGTGGCCACCGCCAAAGAGCGCGACTTCTTCGTCAAGGGGTTCCATCGGTACCTAGATAACCGGACGGGCGAAGGCTACGTCGACGCCACGGGCGTGCCACGTATGGACACCCGTCGCGCGGCGCTGTCCTTCTTCAATCCCCCCGCGTCCCCGCCATCGTCGCCCCCTCAAGCACCAACAACGCACCCATCCTTGTCTCGGCTCGAGCAGTTAGAGTTGAACGAACTACGAAGAAAGAAGCCACCTGCGATGACGATGGCCTCAGCCGACACACCCGCCCCGTCCCCTGTGGACGTCCTCAGTGGCGACGAAGACGAAGGTGATGGCACGCCGATGGGTCATGAATCGAAACGAGTGGCGCCATGTCCAGTGGACGAACCACCTCCGACACCCCTGCTTTCGCATTTATATTCGACTCGGTACGACGCCATGGACATGAAGGACGCCGAGCAAGCGATGCAGGCGCGCCCGGTGCTCACGGCCCACCAAGCGCACCTGTTAGACGAGGAGGACCGGCTCAGCAGCGTGTTCGACCGCATCTTATTGATGCAAACGTGATATTGGCATTAGCAGTGTTTCTAGTCGAATTTCTTCACGTTGACGGGAAATTGCTGGCGCAACGCCGTCATATGGGCAGGATAAATAGGGAGGCATGCCACCAACCAATTGCCAAACACTTGATGGAGGTTGGATAGCACGCCCACGTTGTAGTAGTTGACAAACCCAATCGTCCCGCGCTTTTCGCAGTACTCCAACGTCGTGAGATTGCACATGCTCAAAACCAAATGCATGCCGCAGAACACGAGCAGAGCCAACCCCACGCACATACTAGTAAAGAACACGCAAACAACCTACACGCGGCATTATGTTAGCTGCCATAGTCGCTCGCTACGACGGCCACGTATACCTGTGTATGGGGTGATGTCAACTGGAACGCTCTGGCGGCAATGTCGTGCGCAAGACGGTCAAAAGCCAAGCCAAACACATGCGTCCACGTTAAATACGCAGTGTCCAAGCACACAACCGCACTCCACCATAGAAAGAGCACGAAAAACTTGTAATTCTCCAACCCAATACATCTACGCCAGACCAGATCGTCATGTATCCAGCAGGGCGACCGACTGCCATCATGAAAAGGTGTACTGTACTTGTTGAGGAAGACGCAATGGTGATCCATTTTGGCAATGCATGACCCACAGGCACTGCAATGGTGGGTCCGGTCCGGCTTGGGCACGTTGCACTTGCGACAGAAGCGCTTCTCGCCGCTGTACTTGAGCTCAATGGATCCGTCGCCTTGGACATGCTTGGCCACGTCCAGCGTCACCTGCGCCGCCATGGTTCGGCCAAGGCACACGAGCATGATCGCAAATGTGGTGTTGAACTGAAGCCAATATTCGACGGGCAAGGCCAATAATCCCATAGAGTTGAGTGCGAAACCAACGTACACCCATACAATCAGCAACGCGATGGCCGCAGGAAGAAGCCAGCGCAGCAGCGGTGGCAGCTTTTTCCACGAGCTGCACATTATTGCTTGTCAAGTGAAGCGGTCATTATTATCCGGATGGGGTCATCGTTTGCTGGCCGGCGCTGATTGGCCAAAATCAGGTTAATTCTACGAATGTATGGCGGATACCTGGCCTTGACGGTTTGTAAATCGATAAATAAAACAGCCAATCACCGTCGGCACAGTTTCTCTTTCTGGCGTGGACGCATGTACAATCGAGCTGGGATGAGCACTCGAGCCGCGGATCGTGCGCACTTGTATAACCGGCAGCCAGTATGTACTTCCACGGATCGTCTTCATCGAGAGGACGCGTGCGTGATGGCTCTTATGATGTCTGACGGACTTGGTAGAACCCCAACTCGAGCGTCAATGCCGAACAAACACATCGCCTCATGGAGGACCAGAACGACGAGAAAATTGATCAACTGTCGATTCAGATTGGAGCTCTCAAGAAGGTGCGTGCAACCTTCCCGTCTCCATACCGTCCATGCCCTGCTTCATGGGGGCCCTCGTAGATGACACAAGACATCAACAACGCCGTGAAGGAAGACAACAAGTTTCTCGACGGCATGGTATGGCTAGCACCTACAGTACTTGTTGGTTCGCGCATATGACGATTCTTGCAGGGACAAGACTTCGACAACACAGACTCTCTTATGGGAGGCACGTTGAAGAAGCTCGGCAACATGATGGACACGGGCGGCGGCAAGCACATGTGGATGCTCATTGGCTTTGTGGTTGTGGTGTTTGTGCTGCTCTACTTTTTAATGACGGGCAAATACTAATTGATGCACGTCGTCGTGTTATATATATTATATTCTTCCACCGAACATGTATATATATATACTTTTTTCTACTCGAGCACGGTGCATCCTTCTAGGATCGTCCATCATATACATACCCGTACAAGGTGACTAGCTTAGAACAAGTTGACTTCCTTCTTCTTGGCTTGTTGTTTCCACTTGGGTAACGCTGCAAACTCGCCACGGGTAACTCCAAGCACCGCCTTGAACTCGGCGTCGCTCAAGTACGATTCCTTGCGCGTCAAGTCGATGCCATCGACGCCGGCAATCAGTTGTTGCAGTGTAAACGTTTGGTTGCCACCCGCCACGGCAGTCACGGGGGCAGGCGGCGCATCATGGACGGGAGCGGGTGCCGCCGCCTCCGGGGCAACCGCGCCAGCCGCCTTGGCCTTTTCGTCGCGCAGCTTTTGCAGCTTGGCCTCGTACGGGTCGACAAATGCGGGCTGGTGGAAGAACGCGGCGTCCCACCCGGCAAAATGACATGTAAAGATGGCCGGTTCCTTGCCCGATTGGATCGAGATCACAGGCGTGCCTTCGCCGCGTCCGTCGCTCTGGGCCGCAGCCAAGTAGTCGTTGGCAATCTTCAAAGCGCCGCGCTTCTCGGACTCGTTCGCGCCTTGGCCGACCCAGAGGTAGAGCGTCGTGTAGCAATCGAGCAGGAACACGTCGTCGATGTTCAAGTCATCTTGGGCGAACGAGTGGATTTCGGACGCGTGGAAGTAGCCCGTCTCGTTGGTCACGTGGAAGAGGCGGGGTTCGTGCTCGGCTTCTTGGCCGGCCTTGACCTTGGGGTAGTCGTCGGTCTTGCCGCCGAGGAAGTTCCAGAACGCGTCGTCGGCGTCGCCTTCGTCCACGACGGTGACGGCGCGCTTGCCCTTGAGGATCGCGGCGATGTTGGACGCGACGCGGCGCTCTTCTGCGTTGGACCCGCTGCCTTGCCACTGGTACACTTGGCGGGGGGTGGTCAACACGAACACGTCACCAGAATTCAAATTGGCCGCGACTTCGTCCACTTGGGTCGCAAACGTGTTGAGTTCGGACGTGCCTTTGATGTGGAACAGTGACACGCCGTCGTCATCGTACGAGTCTTGGTCGTGGCGGTTCTTGAACCCGCTCGCCTTGCCCCCCGAGTGCACGATCAATCGACCCAAAAACAACCGACGAAAGTGCGACGGCTCCTTGCCCTGCACGACGCGCACCTGGACAGGCGACCCGCCCATTTCGTCGTCGAGGCGCTGGGCCCACAACGCGCTCGCGGCCTTTTCATCTTGCGACGACTGGCGGCCTTGCCAAAAGTAGATGACATGCGACGGCTTGGCGCCGGACTTGGGTGTGAACGTGTTGAGCACGATGTACGAGTCGCCGCCAAAAAACTCGCCGTATGTGGCGGCGTCTACTTGGACCTTTTCCAAGTTTTCAATGCGCCACACCTTGATCGCGTTGGTCCCGTCTTGGCCAGCGAACAAATCGTCGTCTTCGGCCGCCGACGCCGAGAACAACGCGGACGCGTTCACGCCCTTGTCTTCCACGGCCCGAGTAGTCGCCGACGTCGACGCTTGCTGGCCAAATGAAATCGTGCGGGGAGGGTCCCACGCGTGGAACAAGGCCTTGAACGCCGAGCCTTCGCCGCCTTCCGCCACCCGCGTGATGGGGGTTTGTGCCGGACGCTTGGTCTGTGTCAGGTATTGCGACGCGTATATCACGCCGTTCTTGCGCTCGTCCGCGGACGCGCCACGGCCAATCCACACGTGGAGGACGTTGCCGGCATCGACAATGAACACGTCGGTCGAGTTGAGCAAGTCCTTCTTGAGGACGCCGTCCTTGGGCGTCACGTCCACTGTCTTCAACGACGACGACGCGTCGCTGAGTTGGATCAACTTGATCGACTCACGATGCGCTTGGTCGTGGGCGTCGTCGTCGTCGCCTTCCTTGGTGACGTTGATGAACCCGCCCAACGTCGTCCAGAATTTTTCGTTCTTGGGCTCGTCGTCCAAAAACGTAATTTGCGCGCGCGCGCCGCGTTCGTTGTTGTTCAATTGGCGAACGTAGTCCAAGGCTTTGGCCTTTTCTTGGCGGTTGGCGGTGGAGCCGTTGAACTAGAGAAATCGTCATGTCGTCAGAAAGTGCTGCAACAATCAATTCTTGTCCACTCGTACCACAAAGATCTCCAACCCGAGGTCCAAAATGTACACGTCGTCCTTGGTGAGCGACGTGTTCTTGGTGGCCACTTGGTTCACGCGCACGGTGCGCTTGCCCTTCACTTGCAACAGCTTGGTGTCGTATTGGTCACGCACGACCTTGTTGAATCCACTGGCCACGCCGCCGGTCAAGTATTCGATACCCGTGCTTTTGAAATACGACAAGAACAAATCGCTTTCAAAGCCTTGGCACTCGCGATATTGCACGGGGCCTCCGCCGAGGGATTCATCGAGCTCGACAGTTTTGTACGCGGCCACACCACTTTCGTCTTGAGACGTATCTTTGCCGAGCCAAAAGTGAATGTTCCACGTGAGCGAGCTGTTCTTTTGGACTGTCTGCAGGAAAATGTACGAGTCGCCAGAGTACAGCTTGTGCAGGTCCTTGGTCACGGGCACAGGAATCAATTTCTCAATGCGCCACGCGACAAGGCCGGGACGTTGGCCGGCGCCGACAAATGCTTGTTCCGCCATCTTGCGCTGGTACTACTTGTGCGGATGAAATCGAAAATCAAAATGAGGGGAAGAAAAGACATGACACTGACGCCACACTCACGTATCTGTTTATGGAGGTAATTCGGTATAAGAGGTTAACTCACGTTCCACAGGGTGTCCCTGTAGAAAGGCCAACCGGAAACACCCTAAATATGCGTTTTCGAAGGTAAATCACAAACGCACAACAGCAGACCCCTTTCAAAATTGCGTCCTTCATCCGGATGCCGGATACGACAATTGTACCTTTGTCGATAGCAGGATGTGGGGCGTTGAGCTGAATGTGGGGGGCGTTCGTGGAGAGGAGCTTCCATCGAGGAGCAGGACAAAGAATCCTAGCGTCATGCACCCATCGTTCGTTGGAGTAACATGCGGCCGTGTGTTACGACAGATAGATTCGTCGTCACGAAGGGACGACACCCACGAGCACTGGACGTAATGCATGCCATATCGGTCCCGGACGTCAAGAGAATTCGCTGCCGTGAGTGCCGAAATGATGTACTGTACTCGCTTGACAAGGGGCACACCAATGTACTCGCGACACACACTACTCTCATCATCATTGCTTGTCATCTCCTCCCGTACTTCCGTCGCTTGAAAGCGCATACATGCCCAACAGCATCATCAACCAACATACGCGGCAATATAGAGCTATATACATGTATTAATCGACGAAAGGGGGGGTATGTCCGTGGACATGTGTGACTTGTGGTTAAAACTCGCAAAACGGGTCCTTGCCGTTGTACACTGGCACGGGCGCTTCTTCGTTCGAGTCCGGGTACGGGTCAAAGTTGGACGTGTCGTTGGGGGTGACGACCTTGGGGATGATGGGCGCCGTGCCCTTTCGCGCCAAGATCGCTTCCCAGTCGCACCCGGAGAAGAACTTGTGCTTCTTGATGTCGTCCACGCCGTTTTTGAGGCATCCGTAGCGCTTAGTCAGGTCCGCCGTGAGCAGTCGCTTGATCAGCGCCTTGGCGTTGCGGTCAAAGTACCGCGGGAAGTTGATCTTGCCCGACAGAATCTGCTGGTAGATGCCCATGGGGTCGTCGTCGCAGAACGGCGGCTGCCCCGCGAGCATCTCAAAGATGAGGATGCCGAGTGTCCACCAGTCCACGCCCTTGCCGTGGCCCTTGTTCAAAAGCACTTCGGGTGCAATGTACTCGGGCGTGCCGCACAGCGTGTACGTCTTGAACGCCACGCGCTTGGCGAACCCAAAGTCCGTGATCTTGATGAACCCTTCGTGATCGAGCAAGAGGTTCTCCGGCTTGAGGTCGCGGTAGATGAAGTCCTGGCTGTGGAGGTACTCGAAGATAGACACGACTTGCGACGAGTAGAACTTGGTCGTGTTGAAGTCGAAACGCCCTGCTTTGCGCAAATGCGTGAAGAATTCGCCGCCGATCACGTATTCGAGCACCATGTACAGGCACCGCGTGTCTTGGAACGTGCCGGCGAGGTTCACAATGAACGGATGATCCAAACACATTAAGATCGTCTTCTCCGAGATCATGTGCTCCACCTACAACGCCAGCATCGTCCTCATTAGATCGAAGCCCCGGTCGAGATCAAGCAAACAACGTGCCTGCTGCAGTCGAATGATCTCGGCCTTTTTTAAAATCTTAATCGCCCAGAACGACCCCGACGCCTACAACAAGTTAAGCGCTGCGTTAGATGCATGTACGACCTGCCCAGGCCCCGAATAAAAGGATAGAATTCATCGTCAACATCATGGGCGTTGTTCTCACCTTGTGCGTGGCGAACCGCACGCGGCCGAATGAGCCCGTGCCAAGGGTCACTCCGAAGTCAAAGTGTGTGATGTCGAGCGGCCCGGGTAGCTTGCTGCTCGGTCTCGCAATGACTGGGATCCCTGGTCCTGCTGCTGCTTCCGCCATCCGAGTTCAAGCGGCCAAAGATATATCTTGTGTAGGTTTTTGCACTGCGCTGGTGGCGACCTCTGACAACGATATTCGTGGAAACACAAACACTCGAAGAGTCGCTCGGAGAGTTTTATATTTTATGACTACGTATTTGTATGGGATTTGAATTTTAGAAATTAATTCATGAAATGTTCGATCTTTCAAGCGCCGTTTCGAGCCGCTAACCGGACGCCTCGAGGATATCGAAGCTCAACTTACCGCTCTCGGCAGCTTCTTCGGCAATGCATTACTAGGGGTATTGAATTAACAACCTTTTGATAACGTTATGATCTCTCTCTCACTCTCTCTGCACAAACGTTGGTTGCATCATGAGGTAGGTAAACTTTACCCTAGGTATTGATTGTCGTTGCGCTGACGTTGGGTCTGTTGGAATTAAAAATCGAAAACTAAAACATTTCTAGTAAGTTAATATATATTTATACTCCAGAGTATCATAGAATTGCACTAAATAATCCGGATACGGTGCCCTCACCAATCAGAACAAAGGGTTTGAAAGGTCATCTATTCGACACAAACACCGTCACCTGGTACGATGGACGACAAAGTTCTGTTCGATGAGTTCACCATGTACGGCGACTCTATGCTGATGATGTCGATTCCAACATGTAAGTAGGCTGGAAAAACAACTGGAACACCAGTAGTGGTCCGTGGTCAAGCATTGCAAACTCATGCTGAAACACACCAGCGACAAATACATCGCCCCACAAGTGGAGAACAGGAGCTGACGGCGCAATGTCGGGGCACTCAGCTGCCGTGCGACACGTACAGAGACCAATTGCACGCCATGACAGCATCCGTCGGGACCTTTTGAGCACAGGAATCGCAGTGGCACGGGCTTGAGTCGCACTGTGCAGTCCTGAAAGCCCAGCATCTCCAGACTCAAGCCGAATTCGACGAATAGAAAGCCAAAGTCGACCGTATAGCCAGCGTGGAGGGCGAGAACATTGTGTTGAGGACGGAGTTGGCCACCACGATGTAGGAGCCTGCCATCACGTCCAAGCGATCACAAAATCACATCATCAAGGAGCTACGACTTGTGCTCAAGCAGGACCTCGTCTCCAATCAAGAGCGAGGCAACCCCTCTCGTCCTTCGTTATCCTCCATATTGGCTCCTCCGCAAGCCAGCTTGAAATGCACCCACAAGTCGCATAGCTACTACCTATACTCATCGTGATTATTAGTTAGTACCTCACCATCGCATGCAATCCCGTGGACCAATTCATTATGAAGCTATTGCACTCTGCTACTTCGAAGACTGCCTCAACGACGAACTTGTCTATAACACACTGTAACTAAACTAGTAATATAACATTTCGTACTGCATTTCCATTAGCCAAACAAGAACCCAATAGAGCCTTTGCTCATGCCAGCTACGACGGAGGAAGGCAAGAGCGTGGCACTGCGTTGTAGCCGTTCGACCACGTCGTCGATCAAGGCCGTGGTCGCAGTCAGCTCCTTCGACGGCAGGTCAGACTCGTTAGGTCCTATCTTCTCGACGGCAAAGAGCACCTTGAGCACCTTCTGGGGCGTCGGGAACTCGGACGTTTGGATGGTGGCGTCCCAGCTCAGCACTTGCACCCGCAGGCGTCGGGCGCCGTCGGCGGCGGCCTCGTCTACCACGTCAAAGCGGAAAAACCCATCCGCCTCGATCACTTCGAGCATCTGCACCACGAGCACCGAGTCGCTCGTGTACGAGTGAAAGATGGAGGCTGTGGTGTCGAGGCAGTGCTTGAACAGGCGGACGTTGGTTCCATTTTGGAGGGACCCGAGCGGAGTCGAGCACTTCGCGCACAAAAGCACGGCCTTGATGGACGCCGCTTGGGTGGGCTGTGTGGAGGAGATGGAAGGTTCGGGTGTGGCCACCACGACATTGCCCACGTTCGAACGATGCAGCAACAGGTCGGCCGATCCGACGTAGATGCGACCCGCGGCGGCGTCGATGCCGTCCCTCGGAATATGCTCAAACGCCCCTTCCGCCGCTCCCCAAAAGTCAACCATTTCCATCCAGTTGGACGATGGGAGGGGCAACGCCTTGGTCCATGGAGTCTCCGAGTCGGTCATGAGGTTCGCTTGGCAGCATCGGCAGTGCAAATGGGCGTACTCTTGGACCTACAAAGTTCGTTCAAGAACAGTGTCTGGGGTATGACGTGGACGTACGTCGAGTTGCGCCCGGGGAATGGATCGCGCAGTGAGTCCGACTGTCATTGTCGACTGGCGGTTTTCTTTGGACGCGGACGTGAGCGGAATACGAACATGCACATGATCTTTCTGCACGCGCACAACGCTGGAAGCAAGGTCCACGGCGTGATCCAAGGCCACGTCGACGAGAATGTGCTCTGGACTCGTGCGCAACTCGACACGGTTTGACGTCGAACCGAGCTGCAGGTACGGCACGGTCGACGAAGAACTCATGTCGACATGCACGTAGCACTGGTAGCATCCAATGTTCGCCTGAAACTCAACAATATATTCCGGCTGCATCGTGACCTCGGACAACGTGATGTCCAATTTCTTTGCCAGGACGTCCACTTCGTCGGCATACGACTTCTTAGTCTCTACTGCCGCTGCATACCGCTCTCGTTCTCGTTCGTAAGCCTTCTGCGTTTCTTCTACATGCTGTCGAGCAGATTCGACTTCGCGCTTGGCTGCTTCAAATTCCTTGAGCAACGCCGCTGCCGCTTCCGCCATGCCTTGACAGTAAATGCAGAAAGTTCGACAAAGCATCTCAACATCCATTGGTCAAAATGTCACTCGCTGTTATCCGGAAACCCAATGGCATACGGAGAAGTTGAACTTGACGCTCAAAATAATTCAACAGTAGTGGAAAACATGTTGATCCGTTAATGTTGGCGGTGCGACGATTTACTCAAGAGATGGATAGCTGGCGTCGGACGTGACGCCGCACGTGCCGTTGTTGGAATCGCCGGTGCGGCGGAGGTAGATGAATCCTTGGTCGCCCCACTCTTGGCCCCACGAGTTCTTGATCTTCCAGTGCGAGTCCGTGTACCCCACGATCACCACGGCGTGGTCCAGGTCAGCCGTGGAGCACGAGTTCAAGACGCCGCTCTTGTACTGCTTCCACTCGTTGTTGCCAGCGGCCACCCCCACCACGATCGTGCGGTCCTGGAGCGCAGCCAACACGGCGGCGTCCCCCGGCGCCACGTTCACGGCCTTCTTGATGCCGGTGATCTTCTTGGTGCAGGACGTGGCACACGTTTCGTCTTGCGTCGTGGAGCCAGACACGTACGGGTACTCTTCCAGCGAGCACACCCCAGTGGACGCCACGTAGTTGATGGCGTTCGTGGGGTATCCCCCTTGGCATCCCATGTTGCCTATGGTTTGCACGAGTCACAAGAAAGGAACATGTCAATGGAGAGAGAAGACGTACCGGTGGCCGTGTCGCACGACGTCAGCTGTTGCTCGGACAGCTTGGTCAGGGACTTAGACGGCGAGGCCAAACACATGGCCGTCTCCACCGCCGAAATGGCGGCGAACGCCCAGCACGAGCCGCATTGGCCTTGCTGCTGCACTTTGTTGACGCAGCCAGAGGTCATCCAGTCTTGGGTCGAAGGCAGGGCGTGGCGGGGGGGGCTCGCTGCCGCCACCGTCTTCGTCGAGGGTTGTGACGTGGCGTACGAGCGGCCAACAAGCACCTTGAACTCGGCCATGGAGAGGAGCGAAAACGGAGAGTCCATCGAGAACTGCGCGTTCGGGTGCAGCAGGTTGAGGCGGGCGACGTCCAGTTTGGTGTCGTAAAAGCGCTTCAATTCCTCGTCCGTGGACTCGAGGCGGGGAAGTAGCCCGTGGGCCTTGGCCACTTGCCCGGCGCGGCTACGTTTCCACACCTCCAATTCCGCCGACAGGTCGGGAATGTCCGCGGGAGACGTCGCGCCAACGCAAGCGGCGGCGGCGGCGATGGGAAGCACAAAGCGAGTGGACAACATGATGATGGCACGGGTGGTGGGAACAAATCAAGTTCAAAAGTGAGACCTGGGACCAAACAACGTCCAAGCCGGGCACATTCAATCATCGAACGCTCCAATGACGCCATCCTGAGCCGCATCACGACATGGCGAAATGTAGAACTCGACCGCATCGATAAGGTCCAATTGTGAACCCGAATGGTTGGTTGCGGTGGACAATTTCGGTCACGGCTCTTTCATATACTATTTACAAAGTATGTATGCGATGGAGTACCCACAACCCAACGACATGCAAAGTGCCCTTTGAACCAGCTTGGCTGGTCTAGACTCTTAATAAGGGCAAAGAAAGTCCCGCGGCTGTCTGTATCACATCAACATGAGAGAGACCCAATAATGAATCCAAGTTGAACCATCGAAAGCCAAGCTACAACATCAAGCGATTCTTGTTTACTTTGCCCTTTGGAAAACAGTTGTAGTGTTCATATTATGGTGGCACCAAGAGAAGCTAAACAACTTCGCCTTGGTTGTCTGCTTCGTTGAACTTGACCCAGTCCAGCGCGATGGGGGCTGCCATCACGTAGTCTGGAATGTCAAATGCGTGAATCAAGTGCAGAGCATCGTCGCCAAGCCCGCTTTCGCTCGAGCTGCACAGTGCCTTGACCGTCTCGTCCACCTACCACCCATGCAATCAATTCCCACAACCACTCACACAATTATGCAAAGGATGGTCGTACTTGGTTGCCGAGGTCGGGGGCTACGATGTTGTTGCACACATACCACCCCAAGTCCCGCTGAACACATGACACGCCGTACAGAAGCGCCAACTTGGTCAGCACTGGGCGCAAGTCGGCATTGGCCGGGTCATCATTCATGGACGCCACCGTCGCTTCGAAAGACATGCGCTCGACATACGACAGCGCAATGTCCTGCACCAACGCACTCTGCTCCACCATCCAAATCTAATCAACACCACATCATAAACAACAACAACAACGACGCAATGCAACGCCAACTCGGACGTACGTCAAACACGGTTTTGCCTTGCTCCAGATCCGTCTTCATGATCTTGCCCAATTTCGCAAACAGCGCGGCTTCTCGCACCCCCAGCAAATACTTGACGTACTCGACATTGCCCCACGACGGCGTGCCACCAAATGGCTTGCCCGCAGCTACGAAACCAAGCAACGATAAAGCCCCAATTCTAACTCTAAAGAACGTACTGGGGGACAGCTTGTACCGGCCTTGTTTGACCAATTCGCCCAGTTCTTTCGTGACCTTGGTCATAAGCACGCGGTTATCTCCTTCCGCCGTCACCGCCGCGTGGGAAAACCCCAAAATTTCTCCAAACCGATTCGCCGACAGGTACCCCTGGCCTCCGCATCGCTCGCGGCAGACACTCACGACGTTTTCCGCGTTCCATGACACCACCGGCTTGATGGCCGAACAGAGCACGACGAGCTCGAGGCGATCGAGCGGATCCGTCGACTTGTTCCATGCCTTGTACTTGTCTTTGACCACGTTCAGGCCGTGCGCGAGGACGTACGTGCGCGCCACGAGTGGCAGCAGCGCCTGCTTTTGCAGGCCATAGTGCAAGATGGCCGTGTCCGACTTGCCCTTGGGTCCAACTGTCGCGCGACTCGCCGCATATCTAGGCATCACACCCTTGGCATTAGGAGAATGAATAGGCGACGAAGGAGTACTGTAGTACCGCATCGCAATCGCCAGCGACAACTTGGTGCCGCCCATCAACATGGAGGCAATGCACACGCGACCACTGAGCAATTGATCTGCACAACCAACACAAGCATCATATGACGATATATTTGTGTTTCGAAGGCCGACCTGCGACGGCCAAGAAACGGCCGCGCTTGCTGGACACGTGGCTCGTGAATGTTCCGTCGCCGCTGACTTGGGAGAGCGCGTCGAGCATGTTGGTGCGGGGAATGCGGACGTTGTCAAAGAGAATTTTCCTGTCCACACAATACCCAAAAGAGATGCCATGAATTCACGAGTCATATCAGGCGGTGGAGGATGGACGGACGAGTACCCGTTGTCGACGCCGTTGCAGCCCATCTTGTGGCCCATGTCTTCGACGCGCACGTGGTCGGCCACGGTCATGTCTTCGTTGCGAATGCGCACAAGGAATGCATGGATGCCATGTTGTTCGCCCTGGACTTGGAGTTGGGCAAACACGACTACCCACTTGGCATGCACTAAAAACCAAAGCCATCGGATGAGCAAACGGCGACGAAGTACGAGTGGCCGCACCGGCAGAGTTGGTGATCCAGTACTTTTGGGCCAGCACCGTGGGGGTGTTGATGATAAACTCATCCGACGCGGCGTCATACACGGCCGTCGTTTCTGTTGCACACAAGCCATGATAATCATGGAATCCTGGCATGGACGAGATATGTACGGCTTGATAACCTACCCATTTCCACGGCGTTGTTCCCGTACCCCAACTCGGTCAACCCAAAGCATCCCACCGATGCTACATGCACGTTTCGCATGAGAACACGTCGCACCAAACACAATTCACAGCATAGAACATGTACCCAACGAATCAATGTCGTCGACAAATCGCTCGTGGTGCTTCTCCGTCCCGAGCTTCAACACGGTGCCGCCAAACAAGTTGAACTGCACCGTCATCTTGGTCGCCATGGAAGGGTTTGTGAGGCCGGCGATCTCATGCGCCGCGTAAATGTTGTGCGGGTTCGTGTGGAAGTCCTTGACCGAGAAGAACTTGGCGTCGCAGATCTTCTTCAACTGCCCCAATGCGATTTCGCGCTCTTCGGCCAGGGGGATGTTGTACCGTGGACGGAACGAGTCGTCTTCCAGGAACACCTTCAGTTCGCGTCGCATGTCTCGATTGTCGGGATCGAGCCACTCGTTCATCTTGTCCGTGGGAAACGATGACACCTTGTGCCCGAACTTGCTTCGCTCCTTGGCAACGTCAAAGCCCAACGGGCGAGTGAATGGGAGGTTTGAGAAGCGCTTCAAGGCGTGATGGCGATGGAGCGACAAGCGCGCAGTGGCAACGGAGGTCGAGTGGAGCATGTTACTAGCGTCAGGTTTCTCGTAATGTGTTTGAGCGACGATACACAAAGATCTGTTTCGTCATCAACAATGTCCGGATAATCACCGGAGGGTGCGTTTGTACGAATTCGATGCTGATTTGGCTTGTCAACGAAACAGAGGACGAGAAAATGGGTGCGTATTTCGTGTTCGTATGTTACTACATCAGCAAAATGAACCCGTGAAATGTCCGGCAAGGACCAGTCGGCGGGTGCCAAAGCCCCAATAGAGCATCCCCTTGGCTGGACGAGCTAATCAATGACCATTTGCCCCCTGCGCATCTACTTGTTTCACGGCAGCTTGACCCTGTAGCTCCCAAGTGACATGCAGAGAGCCAAGATGCATCACTTCCAACTCCCAAAGTCTTTTGACACTAACCATCCTACTACGCACCACTTCCGGTAGCTTTGGGCATGCAGTACTGTACTAGGCAACTTCTGCAGTAGTATTTCTGTAGTTACCAGGTTACAGTAGGCCTAAAAACCCTGGACGACTAATCAACCCTGAACGGCTTATTATCCGGCTCAATTTATCCGAATTATGAGTTCGTGTACGTGTGCAGCATGATAGTAAGTGAAATGACTCGATGCGGATGATACGTGGTATACGTTGTAGCGCCTATTTGAGGTACCATATACCACCATCGCATGCCACCGCTGCTTCTCCGCTATCAGAATACAGTACATATACAGTGCTGGTCAGTCAAATTGGGCACATCCTTCATGTCGTCTAAGCGGACAAGAATGGACATGGTACAAATGTAGCTTGCTGTCAATCGACCCTTGTGGCTATCACTGTCGACTTTGTTCAACCTGGATAGTGTCAAAGGTACGGCTCAAAAAGTAAGTAGTACTGTATTCTGATAGCGCCGGAGTAAACCGGTGGTAACTTACTCCGGAGTACTACGTAGTAGTAATGTTGCACCTCTGAACTACATGGAATCAATCCCAACGAAACCCTCAGACTCTTGGAATGAACGATATATTCATGCATATACTATGACTCAAAGCGGCCCTACGCTTGGCGTTGACGGTGTTGATGCTCCACCAATACATTCATGCATGTGCGTGCCCCCAAGCTGTCCTACGCTTTGGCGTTGACGAGCTTGACGTTCCACTGTTGGTTGGCGTTGTCTTTGTCACACCACGCCAAGTACACGATTTCGTCGACTTCGTCGGGGGCGCCAAGACAAAACCCAATGTGCGTCGCGTGATGGATCTGGCCCGTGATATCATTCACGTCCCACTTCTGGTTCTCGTTGGCAGGAGCGCAATCGGCCAAGGCCACATGTTCACCGTCCATGCCCTTGGACGCGTCCAAGCAGAAGTTGTTCGACGCGCTCTTAATGTTCTGGGCGACAGGGTCGTACAGCCACTGGTGGTTTTCAGCGTTCGACTGGCGGGTGGTTTGCCACGTCACTTTGCCGGACAACTCGGTCAGCACGCCGCCGTCCGTCTTAATGCCGATTTCGAGGGGCTCGCGGGCTACCGGGAACTTCGAGATCGGATGTTTCCGTTGCTCGTTACACGGGGACATGTCGACCACGAGGTTCCCGTCGGGGGTCGTTGGGTCCACGTCTACTCGAACGCAAAAGTTGGCGTCGTTTTGACTCGCAAGGTTGCCATTCGCGACGATCCATTTTTGATCGCGGTTGTCCTTGGAGCATTGTCTCATTCGCAGGGCCTGCGTGTTGCCCTCCCCAAAAGACTCCAAGCACTGATTCGAGCTCTTGGAGTACAAGTTGCTGGACTCTTTGTCCCACAGCCAGATCTCGTCGTCCAAGACGCCCGAAGGACCGACGGACGGCTTCGCACCATACACGCGGCCAAAGTTCTCGTTGACCGAGTCGTTGGCGTTCCAGTAGCGGTGCGCCTTGATTACGTTGTCTCCGGCCCAGAGGCGGACCGCTTGGAGCGGCGCGCCGACGTGGACGGCCTTCACACCTGGCTTCAACGTGCGGTTCACGTCGTGAATGCCACAGTGGGATTCAAGATCATCCGTCCGATACGTTAAATCGAACGCGGCATAGAAGAACGCGTTCAGGTTCTGGCGCGACGCCAGGGTGAGAAAGTCTTGCGTGAACACGCCTTGGGCCAGGGGAGACGCTACCGTGTCAGACATATTACCCCCTGAGCTCCAGCCGGTCTCGAAGAGCTGGATGAGTTTGCCGACGCGCTTCGCGCGGGTCTGGTGTTCCTGGAACTGCTTGAAGATATAGTGCGCGGCGTCTTCCGGCGAAATTTCATCCCAATACGCATGCTCGGTCACAGCGACCAAGTCCACGGCTTCGTACAACTCGGGGAACCTCGAGTACATGTCCATGGTGTCGGAGATCACGACGGGGAACGTCAAGTTGTGGTCACCGAGGTAGCTTCGCACTGTTTTGAGGTGCCTAAGGACGGTGTCGATGCCGCGGCGGTCGCTGCTGCCGGTCGTGCTGCCCGGTCCTTCCACGTAGTACCGCCTCAAGGCATCGCTCGACACTTGGATGCCGAGGATGTTTTCGTTTTGGATCCATTCGGTATCCTCTACGAGCTCCTTGAAGTCGGCCATATCCAATGGGAACCGATCGACCACTTTATGTTCACTGCCGTCGTGCACGATGGACGTTTCGACGTCGCTCCACATGCCGAGCCAGACCTTGATATCGCTCTTACGGGCGACTTCGAGCAGGGTCGTAATGCATTCAAAGTAAGTCGAGTAGACGCGGATGTTGTTGGTGACTCCCTTGAGAATCTTCAAGTCTTCGGTCATTGTGTCGAAGTCTTTGCACTCAAATTCCGACGGATGGATGTCGTAGATGATGCCGTAGAACTTGGCGTCCAGCGCCGCCACAGACGAGGCGGCGAAGGCGGCAGCGATAGCAAGCGAAGATGGTACTTTCATCGGAGAGAATTGGGAAATGTACGACTGGGGCTCACCAACTCTTTAGGTGTGGAAGACCTGGCTACGCATGCTGTTTGAACCTCCGACGTGCTAGGATTTGTCACATCGGCCGAGAATGCGCACGTCTGAATTCCTTTCAAATTTCAACATCGAAACTTTATTTATGTAAATATGGTGCTGGGCTGTAAAAGTGGACGAAAGCTGCACTCCAGGACACTATACGTATGGGCGCAGTTCCGTGACACTTTTTGGGACCTTTCAAATTGCTACTATTAATAGTATTATAATAGTGTTTCTTAAAGAGGAGAATTAATGCAGTTCGTAGAACTTAAAATCATGTCGAAATTCGTATTAGTGTTGATGGAAAATGAATTAAAAGAGTGGAAATATCGATAGGCTGAAAACAGTTCCAAGCCACTTGATTTTATCCAGTTACTCCGGAGTATCTGTCACAAATGGCATATTATTGGCTGAAAATATTTCAGTGTGGTTATTTTCTACCAATCATGCATCGTGGCACGGAACCAAGTTGTCACGGAACTGCGCCCATACGTATAGTATCAAGGAATTTCTATGGGTGAATATTATCACTTTGGCACCGTTCGGACATTTTCAGTCGGACATACTTGACATTTGTATTGGATAACATATTTTGTCGAATGAAATTGTCCAAACCGACTATGTCGGACATACTTGTGTATTGTACACACCCGCATAAGAACGACCAGCCGTAGAGCACAGTACAAAATTGGGGCACCGCAGCGTAGCGGAGGTCGTGTGTATAATTTTGTGCAGGCGGTGCCTTGGCGAGGAGTGAGCCCCAATCGTGCACTTCACCGAACGTCCAATCGATTCCTCTTGTGGGGAAAAGCGGCAGGTAGGCCGCAGGCCGTGCCGCTACCTGGACAAGGCCTGTGGTACAACTATTCGCATTTAATGCGTAAATCCAGTTAAGTGCGTGTCCGAAGCACATATCAAGCAAATATTTGTCCGAGTCGTTATGGTATGGACAGTGGTCAGAGTCGCCTGATATTTTTGCTTTTGACCCGGACGTCAAATACCTCCTGGTGGACACACCGAATATACTATATATAATTCGACCAATAAGCGTTGCTCAGTACAGTACTAAATTTCCGGAGACTTGACCAATCAAATCACTACGTAGATCACGGTGCACTGAAATTGGCCAATGGAATTGCTTTATTTTGGAATAGCCAATCGAATCACTAGAAAAATGAAATCACCAAAACATAAGCAAAACAGCATTCATACTTGTAGTTTACAGTTAAACCGGGTAGTTTACAGTTAAACCGTGTACTTCGAAGTACCATAAACCGTCCCTCCTATTTTGCCTTGACTTCAGGGGAAATTGAAGTAAATGAACGCTAATCTGAAGTCTCTTCAAGCCGAATAAATAATCCAAACCTACCTTTCGACTTCAAACTGCACTTTTCAGAATTGGAATCCCGGTCCTGAGAGACGAGTAAGCTTAAGCTGCATTCTACGACGAGGGCTCTTTCAAGTGCACCATAAATTGGCCATCTACATTATACGTATGGGCGCAGTTCCGTCACAACTTGGTTCCGTGCCACGATACATGATTGGTAGAAAACAATCAATCTGAAATTTTCAGCCAATCAGATACAATTTTTGACAGGTAACAGGATAAAGTCAAACTGTATTCAGCCTATGGATATTTCCACCCTTTAATTCATTTTCCATCAACACTAATACGACTTTCGACATGATTTTAAGTCAGGCGAACTGCATTAATTCTCCTCGTTAAGGAACACAAAAAGTATCACGGAACTGCGCACATGCGTACAAGAGCCGATGAGGTTTATTAAAAATCGTGAATTCACTATTTATTCGGTGTGTCCACCAGGAGGTATTTTACGTCCGGGTCAAAAGCAAAAATATCCGGCGACTCTGACCACTGTCCATACTTCCCTTTATCTGGGCATTTACGAAACACACCTACTACTAGTAGTACTAGAGTATCATGAGGTGAAATTATGCAAGTGCCAGACCAAGCTGAGCTTGAGACTTACTCCGAGTACGACGTTGCTACGGTGGAAGACCATGTACAGTACAGCCTGCCAACAACCCGTTACACCCAGCAGCAATCACAGGCACGCTTCGCTCATACTATCACTGGCGTGGCAGATTGACTGAAGCAGTTCGGTGTTGGCACGACTCAAAACAAAAACGTTTCGTGATTGCTAGTAGTCTGGTGTATTTTGTTTCGTGTTTGTTTCGTAAATCGTGTATAATTACTGTTAGTGCTAACAGTGAAAACGATTGCATTCCTAACATTATGCGAATATTCATATTAATAAGTGTGTAACTCTTAATTAATTGTAAATACCAAGGACTTACAAAACATCCGGTTAATTAACCGGTAAATAAGGGGGGCTCCTCGGCCTGGTTCCCGGCCCTGGCCTAAGCTAGCTCCTAATCGTTCCGGATAAGTTGTTTCGTGTTTGTTTCGTAACCATCATTCTCTTTCAAAATAAACTATGAACTTCACTATCGGAGTGTTGATCTTGTTTCGTAAATGGGTAAATATGTATAAGTAGTGTGTTTTCAGGTAGTATAATCAGTGTAAATGAGATTGGTATTTACGGTTAGTGCTAACAGTGAATCGAATGTATTCCTAACATTATGCGAATATTCATATTAATAAGTGTGTATCTATTTTAATAGTTACACACTTATTAATATGAATATAGAAAGAGACGGAGGCGCCAGTGATACTGATGAAGAGTCAAAGGAGTATTACGATATATATATATTATTATTTGTTTGCACAAGTTGCACACTTAGGAAATTAATCTAATTCAACTTACACTGTTAATTCCCTGAAAACACACTTCAAATCTCTTACAATTAATTACTATTTTAATAGTAATTAACTGTAAGTTACTGTATTGTAAGTGTGTTTTAATAGTAATTAATTGTAAATGTGCAACTTGTGCAAACAAATAAAAAAATATATATATCGTAAATATGTTTCGCTTACTCCTTTGACTCTTCATCAGTATCACTGGCGCCTCCGTCTCTTTCTTCTCCCATCATGACGCTCACCAGATTTCCAGTTGTACAAGTGTACGCGTTCATATACAATTCCACGAGCTTTGTCACCTTTTCGGGGCTCAGTCGGGCTCGGCATTTTGTGAGGATAAAGTCGTAAATGCTCCAAACGCGCTCTGATGCAGCTTGTGACGTCGGAACGCTGAACACGATTTGGGCGATGACGAACAGAATAGGGAACTTGGTAGCGCCAACTTGATGCCAGTATGTCATGGGGCTAACACATTCTTCGATAAACAATCGCGCCTTTGCCGACGGGGTTGCCATTGCATCGATGAAAGCTGTAATTTCCAGTTGAACGGCCAACTTGTCCGACGTGATTGCTTTTCGGACGAGAATGCAGTTGAGCAGTAGGCGACTGTTGTCGTACAAGTCATCTTCAAACATACCTTCTCCAGTTATTGTCGTCGATTTGAGAAAATATGCAAATCCCATGGATCCAGCACGGAGGAAGGCCGAACAATCCATCAGCTGCTTTGACAACTTGGCATCGCCATGCCAATGCCTTTTGTGATCGAAGAATAATCGGTACACGTCCGACAAGCAACAGGTTTCACTCTCAAACTTGCCGATGATGGTGCACGTCGGGCCTAGGTCAACCTCCAGTCATTCTAACTCCATCCAGAAGTTGGCGTCCGCTATGGTGGCTTGAAACGCTGTCTTCTTTTCACGTGCATTCGCTTTTTTAATGTTGTTAAACAAAGTCCAGGCACTTCTCATGGCTGCTGCGTTGTCGGTCACTACTAATGCCACTTTTGAAATCCCAGAGGCGCTCATAGCTGTCTCCAGGTCGTTCGCGATTATTTCACCGGTTTGTGAGGCTTCGGTAGTAGCAATAGCGTTGAGAAAGTCGGGATTAGCAGCCTTGCTGGGATACACTAAGTTGACCATGTGATCGTTCCGTAAAGATGTCCATCAATCAGACACCAGACTGAGCTTTGGTAGTTCATATCCTCGTGGATATTTTACATCATGTGATCGTGAGCATCACGAAGCAAATTGCCAGCAATTGCTTTTGCTGATGGAGGATTGTAGGATGGTCGCGTTAGATGCAGGAATGCTGCCAATGCCGTACTGCCAGTGAGTCGAAATGACACGCCGGAGGAGAAGAACACGTTTGCAAACGCCTTGTCGAAGGCCAGCTTCTCGTGCAGTGAAATTCGATCCACCCATTGCTGTACATTACCAGGAGTCGTGAATGTTGTTCTCGGAGGTACAGTGGATCACAAAAGTCTGCATACCCCATGCACCTGCACTCATGTATGAGTGATTGTGGGATCATTATGCATCTGCCAATCACATGAATGCGTCGTACAGATGGCCATTGACGTAGACAACCTGAAACACCATTTCTTCCGTTTGATTGGTCTTAGCATCCTTGAGAAAAGTGGGATGTCATGCCGTCTGTCAAGATGTTGACGGTACAAAAGTCTGCATACCCTAAACGATTGGAGGCGCTAGACCCCCAATAAACATTCAATG